CATAATTCATTAGCAATTATAGAAAGGATATATTTCGATATATTTTAGAAGAATAAGTAAATCAATTAATCTATTCATTTAGAGTAACTACTTACCTAACTCTTGCTTTATGGAACAAACCTAAAAAGATATTAATTAAAAAATGAGGTCCATCCTTATCGACTGGATTGAAGAAGTTCATATGAAATTCAAACTTGTATTTTGTTACATTTAATATTCTCTAGTCTCCAAATAGTTTATATTTAGCCATTAACCTTATAGATAGATACCTAAGTGCTAACATTGTAAAGAGAAACAAACTCTAATTGGTTGGAGTTGCATCTCTCTTCATTTCATCCAAATTTGAAGAAATCTACCCTCCAAATATTAAAGATTTTGTATATGTTTGTGACAAAGCCTACACAAAGGAAGAGATACTCTAAATGGAAGGGTAGATTTTAAATACTGTTAATTTTTCACTAAACTACATAAGTCCTCTAAGATTTTTAGAATTTACTGTAATTGAAAACACTTAAATTGAAGACAATAAAGTATTTCAAACATAACAATTTCAATTATCATCCTACATACTCGAGATTGCCTTACATAGTTATGAAAGTCTTTAATATATGCCTTCATAATTAGCTTAGTCTGCATTACTATTGTCTAATAAAATTTTAGGAATATAATCTGATATGGAAATCACAGATGAATCAAAATATTGTGCCACATATTTATTGTAGCTTTACTACAACAATTAAAACAATATTTTGTATCCAGCTGTGAAGAGAAAATATGCTAAAGAAGAGCATTTGTAGGTCTCATAAATCACAATTTCAATTTGAATTTACTCTTTGTTTTTTAATTAATTGTGTGTATATATTTTATATTGATTTACATTTATATGAAATTATTTTTGATATTTGTTTTTGCTATTATAGCATTACAAAAACCAACAGATCCAGATAATAATTGTGTTTTTTATAAGTGTCCAGATGAATGGAGAACTTGCATAGCAAATGATACTTGTGAAAAGCATTTGACTTAATGTGTTAATATTTATTAGAGGTTTTAAGAAATGCCTTATGCATTAGGACAATTCTATAATTGTTTAGTAGATAATGATAACACTCGATTATTATATAGATGTGTAAGATAAAAATGCAATACACCTATTAGTAATTGTTTGATTGAAGCATTTTAGAAACGACTAATATGATAATTAAAAGATAATTAAAATATTCAATATTATTCATCATTGTAATTTGTTTCTTCATATTATTGTTGCAGAAGGGTTTCATCATAATTTTTCTTATCATAAAATATCTTATCACTTATAACTTCAATGACTCTTTCATGTTTTAGTAAATTTTCAATTAATTTTTCTCTATCTTCTTTCTCCATTTTTACTTCTTCATTACTTAAATCTAAATATAATTATAAATTACTCTTATTTTTTTTTAAAGTTCTCTCATCACTCTTAACTTAAATTATCTCTTCCTTTATATCTTCAATGCATTATCTTAAAATATTATATAATTCTGTTTTAGCAGCTAATTCTTTAGTGTAAAGTTATTTGATATCTCTCAGTCTTTTTTATTCTTTCTTTAATGTATTCTAATATGTTTAAATTATATTCTAATATCTATTTTTTTTAATAAATATATTATACTTAGCTTTCTATACTTCATCAACACTTTATGAAACTTATGAATTTATTATTTAAGGAAATCTCACTTGTTATTAAGATGATGATTATTTAGATTTTTCAGTTTTTTGATTTTTTATTCCAGATTTATCTAAAATTTAATCTTCATAAGATTCTTAATCATCTTCTTTTTGAACATCATTTAATAACTTTTCATATTACTAAATTTATGATTTGAGTATTGCATTTTCCTTTTTCTTTATTATTAATTCTTTCATTAACATATCTCTATCTCTTTCTTAAGTTTAATATTCAACTTTTAATTCTTTATATTTCTACATCAATTAATGATTTTCATCATCAATTTTCTAAGCAATCTTTTTTATCCATTCTAATTCACTAATTAATTGATTCTCCTTTAAAAGATATTCTTTATCATTCTAACCTTTTTTCTCTCTTTCTTCCTAAAATTGTTTCTTTATTTCATTAATTTTATTATTAAAAAATCTAATAATATCTCTTTCTTAATCTACTAGAATTTTAGAAGTTCTTAATTAAATGTTATTAATTCCTTCAATAATTTTACCATGATCTTTATAAATCAATTCCATAATCTTTTTATCAGTTTAATCCAAAGCAGTTCTAGATCTTAATTCTTATTATAATTCATCAATAGTTTTCTTAAATTCCATTTCCCTTTAAACATATCTTGCTATAAGTTCTTCTCTAAGTTTTTTCTTATCTTCATTGTGTTATTATTATATTTCTTATAATTTATTCAACCACTCAATTGAATTTAATTCATTTTTATTGGCTGAAGTAGATTATTATCCTTTACTCTTCTTCTACTTACTATCCTACATATTTTCCATCTTCTTAGCTTATAATAATAATTATTCTTAAGTCAATTTAGACGGTTTCAATATACTATCAGAACTAATTGCTATATATTGCAATGTTTATACTTTTAGTTAAATCACCAGTAGTAGCATAAATGCGATCTGCAATTTCTTACATTTTCTACATACTTTTAGTATTTTTGATGATTTACTATTCATCAATTTTAGACATTTTATTTTTTTATATTTATTAATATACAATAATATAAGAAATGTTAATAATGTAAAAGAAGAAAATAATTAATGTAAAATAATAATGTTTAAATTTTCATGGTTTGAATACATTCAATAAACTTCAGCATGCTTTAATAAATCATTTTTCAATTATCCTAGTGAAGTTGTTGTTAATAATATTGCTTATTCAAGTAATTTAGTTTATTAATTTCTTTATTTAGTTGATTACTAATATTCTTAATCTAGAATTGAACATTCTGCTTGAATATTGTCAAATTCTTTCATTTTATTTTGTAATCTAACATCAACTTCCTTCTTTTCATTTTCACTCTATTTCAATTCATTTGACTAACTATCCAAAATTCCTCATTTATTCATAAATAATACCTGTCATTTCAGTAAGAGATTTTGAAGCTTCATTCAATAAATCAGCTATTTGAGCTTTATAATCATTATAAGCTGTTTCTCTTGATAAATCTGCTTGATCTTCTCTTGTTCTTTCAGTTTAAATGTATGATTCAATTTATTTGAGAATTGCACTTAATTGAATTGCTAATTTTAATGCTTCCTAATATATATGAAATGTAATACTTCTTCACTTGTTTATTTTGATAGAGACTATAGTAATTATACAATATGTTTATATCCTTCAAGTTTGTAAGTGTGTTTAACTTATTTTAAAATTTACTTCATTTCAACAAATGACTCAAATTTACGTTATCCTTTTTATACAGAATCAATAAATTGATTAAATGCTTATTTAATTTGATGGAAACCAAATAAGGCTTACTCAAGATTATCTAAAATATTATTATAAGTTTCATGTTCCTTTTCTCTTTTTTATGCTGCTTATTTCAATTCTTATTTATAGTCATCCTATCTTTATTATATTTAAAAGTACTATTTCTTTTTATTTTCTTTCAACCATTGCAACACTCTACTTGACATTAGGATTAAGAGTTTCAATATATGATTTTAAAGTCACAGATTTAATTTTATAATTATCTATTTGATCATTCAATTAACCTAAATTGATGTAACAATTAGTAGAAATTCTCTTGTGTTATTCTTCAGATTTAGTTTAAACTTTTTCTACTTATGATTGTAGATTTTATAACATGTTGACTAAATTACCTACAGGTTCATCAGATTAAATATGCATTTAAATTGTTTCTAAAAGTGTTTAACCAAAGTTATCATCATTAAGCTATTGAATAGTTTAATATATACATCCTCCATTGCTTATCTATATTGTGCACTTGTCGCATATGTATATACGAATAACACAAACAATAATAATTTCATATAATAATTAATCCGTTTTACATCATAAAATTAATATGAATTAAAATAAAATAGAAAATGTCACATTCAATGATGTATAATCAAGATAACTCTGATATTAAATTTATTCAAAAATGGTAGTACTCAAAAATAAATATAAGTTTATAATCAAATATATTAGTTAATAGTTTTAGAGATGGCTTCTTATAAGCTTTTTACAGCAATAACATTCTCTTTATTCTAATCATTTAATGTGTTATAACTCTATAAAATTTATAATAAAAAATACTTGAGTTCTATTCATAATATTCTTAACTTTGTAAATAATAAAGTTCTTATTATTTATTTTAGATATCTTTTAGACAAATTCTTGATAATGTTCTTCCATTAATTTATTGTAAATATATATCACTACATCACAATTTTTTACATATACTAAAAAAAATAAATTTATAAATTTTTACCATCAATAATATCAGTGAATTTAGTTGAGTTTAGATTGTTCATCCAAAAATGGTATGTGATTTATTTGTTTTAATTGATTTCAACCTTTGAAATATAATCAAAATCTTTCTTTTGATGATATTCTTAACCACAATAATCAAAGATATATTAGGCTTCATTCTCAGTATTCATTACAAGTATTTTAACATTTTATGTTTCCATTTATTATATCTATGCCTATATTTCCTCTTCTATTTCTGTATTCTATATTATTAGATTATATTAATACATTTGTTTCCCTCTCATCAAAATCAAAATTCCCTATGTTTTATGTTTGTTACTTAGAATTACCCTCATAATAAAAAAGATCTTTGTTCCAAGCAGTTTATGCTAATTGAATGTATTCTTCAGTTGAATCTGAATGAATTGCACCTAATCTTTTTCTCATTCTATTTGTAAGTTATTTTAACTAAATAACTAGATATCTAGAAATATTTGTAATATAAACTCAACAATAACTCATTCAAAAAAAATTAATTCGTCATAATACATATAATCATCATTAATGCAAATCACAATAATTNTTCTACTTATGATTGTAGATTTTATAACATGTTGACTAAATTACCTACAGGTTCATCAGATTAAATATGCATTTAAATTGTTTCTAAAAGTGTTTAACCAAAGTTATCATCATTAAGCTATTGAATAGTTTAATATATACATCCTCCATTGCTTATCTATATTGTGCACTTGTCGCATATGTATATACGAATAACACAAACAATAATAATTTCATATAATAATTAATCCGTTTTACATCATAAAATTAATATGAATTAAAATAAAATAGAAAATGTCACATTCAATGATGTATAATCAAGATAACTCTGATATTAAATTTATTCAAAAATGGTAGTACTCAAAAATAAATATAAGTTTATAATCAAATATATTAGTTAATAGTTTTAGAGATGGCTTCTTATAAGCTTTTTACAGCAATAACATTCTCTTTATTCTAATCATTTAATGTGTTATAACTCTATAAAATTTATAATAAAAAATACTTGAGTTCTATTCATAATATTCTTAACTTTGTAAATAATAAAGTTCTTATTATTTATTTTAGATATCTTTTAGACAAATTCTTGATAATGTTCTTCCATTAATTTATTGTAAATATATATCACTACATCACAATTTTTTACATATACTAAAAAAAATAAATTTATAAATTTTTACCATCAATAATATCAGTGAATTTAGTTGAGTTTAGATTGTTCATCCAAAAATGGTATGTGATTTATTTGTTTTAATTGATTTCAACCTTTGAAATATAATCAAAATCTTTCTTTTGATGATATTCTTAACCACAATAATCAAAGATATATTAGGCTTCATTCTCAGTATTCATTACAAGTATTTTAACATTTTATGTTTCCATTTATTATATCTATGCCTATATTTCCTCTTCTATTTCTGTATTCTATATTATTAGATTATATTAATACATTTGTTTCCCTCTCATCAAAATCAAAATTCCCTATGTTTTATGTTTGTTACTTAGAATTACCCTCATAATAAAAAAGATCTTTGTTCCAAGCAGTTTATGCTAATTGAATGTATTCTTCAGTTGAATCTGAATGAATTGCACCTAATCTTTTTCTCATTCTATTTGTAAGTTATTTTAACTAAATAACTAGATATCTAGAAATATTTGTAATATAAACTCAACAATAACTCATTCAAAAAAAATTAATTCGTCATAATACATATAATCATCATTAATGCAAATCACAATAATTCAACTTTATTCATTTTTTCCATCATCTTCATTTTCATCTTATTCTGCTAACCATTCCATTAAGTCTTTTTCATATTACTCTAATTTCTCATAATAAACTTCTAAAACACAACGTTAACAACCTGAACCACAACATTCATCTGGATCTGGTTAATCTGGTTCAATAGGTCTTTATTTTTTGTATTTTATATTTCTCATCTAATAATTAATCTAAAAACTTGATTCTTTGCATAACTCAGATTCATCTATTCGATCAAATAATTTAATATTTTATTTAAATTAGGTAGCTATCTAGCTCCATTAATTCATCCTTATTTTTCTAATATAAAATAATAACATATTATAATTCATCATTTATTTTGTTTCTAAAGTTCAAACTCTTCATCCAAATCATACAAAAATGGAAATATAAAATTAATCCAAATATTATTGTATTAAAATTAAGCTAATTGACAAGAACATTAATCAGTTATTTTTGTATTAACCTATTAAATATAATTATAATTCTCTTTACATAAACATCAACAATATTATCATTTTATTCTACTTTCTCTAGGCTATCAGTAAATGCAAAATTAAAATTACATTCCCTAAGATCAATCTTATTAAACAATCGTGCTTATTTCATTAACCATTAGAAATTATCCTTCTTAAAATTAAATCCAGATAATATTAAACATTCAATTTTCTTAAAATTTACTTTCATTAATAAATTTTAATCCTTAAATCCAAATTACAACTCTTAAATTCCTATCATTTAATAATAACATAATAAATACCTTTAAGATATTAGAAAAAGTTTTCTTTTAATAATATAAATTATTCCTAATAATCTCCTTCAATTATACCAAAATGAAAAACCTTCAAGTTATATTAATTAAGTAATTCTTCAAAAATTTAAAGACTCTACTATTAATTAGATGAACTTTCAAATTAGGTAAACTTTATCTCTTAAAGATTTAACTTTTTCGAAACTTCATTCTACTCAAATTTAATCTCATCATTACTAACAGCTGATTCTTTCATTTTATTATATAAAGAAATCAAGTCTTTAAGTATTTCATCATTTCCTTTTTCAATTGTAATGCTTTTTAAATGATCTGCTTATTAAATTATCATATCTTTAACTTAATCATTCCACTCTCCAAATTTAAATTCCTAAATTTCTAATTTTGATAATGATTATATGATATTATTCAAATCATCATTTTTTTTATTTTTATAACCAAATGATTTTAATTTAGGTGATTAAGCAACTATTTTTTCAATATATTCTAATGGGATGTCAGTAATTTAATACGAATCAAATTTTGTCAATTCTGATAGATCTTTTGGAACCACAAGTTCTTATAATTCTCTTATATTTATGCATGGAAATATAATTTCTTATGGTTTGATGAATTTAGATAATAAATTATTCACTTCTTTTGGTTTAAATAGATCATCCTAAATTTTATTCATAGATAAAGGGATTAATGTTGAACAAACAGCTTAATCAAAAAGTGTATTTAATTCTCTCATTTAAAGTCTTTAATTAATAGGAATATAACTCAAAACCTATTGCAAACATTCAAAATTCAAAGTGAAATTATTTGATTCAATTTAATGCATTAATTATTAATATTATTCAATATAATTATAATCAAAAAAATAATTATTTAAAAATTACATAATCACAATAGTTTATTTTATTTTCTTATTATGATAAATATTCATTTCAAAATATTTAAATATTAATTATCCTTTAGAATAATCAATTCTTTAAAATTCAAAATTCCTTCTTAGATTAAATATTTAAATATTTTAAATAAGTAAGCAATAATCAAAGTCTTTTCATATATATTCACCAATCCCAAAAACTTTTCTTTTTCTTTTCAATTCCTTTTCTTTCATAACTGAAATTTGTATCTCGAGAAAATCTTACTTTTTTTGATTTTCTAACAGCTGTATGAGTAGATTTAATTGATTTACTACCAGAGAAACTACGATGTGTTAAAGATCTATTTTTTAATATACTTTTATGACTCTTTTAAGTTTTACTATAACTACTTGATCCTTTTTCATCTGCTGAAAAGAATTCACTAAACATTTTTTCATAAGCATCAAGCATCATTTTTTTTTTAGAAGATCCTTTACTTGCATTATTACTGGCTAATTCTTCTCTTACTTAAACTATTTTCATTAAAGCACTTTTTCTCATAATATCAGATTAGGATGAAATAGATTTATCTTTACAAGGAGGAGTTGGAGTTTTGGAGATTTAAGATTTTTAAGAAACTGTATCATTATCATTTCTTTTAGGAGCAAATTAAGATGTTGATTTAGGTTAGAAGGGATTTACACTTTATTAGTCATTTGATTAATTAATGGAATTTTAAAAAGAAAATTAGTTATCTAATTATTCTTTTTATTTCTTAATTTATTCTTTCCTTTAAAGTTCAAGTTCTTATTCATAAATTTATTGAATACGTTTCAAATTTTCTTATTCTTCTTAAATACTAGATTATAATTAATAACATACTTTTTTTATATGATATACTTTATCTCTTCTTCAATATCATGCATAAATCTGTTTTTTCTGTCTCCAGATATTTCAAAATTTTAAATTCTTTTAGTAAATTACTTAATTTCTTTAGGTGACTTGAATTCTTCTCCAACAAGATCATCTAATACTCCTTTTTAAGAACATAAATGATCAGTCTTTGAATCCTTATCAGATTCTTTTCTTTACTTATTTTTTTATTGAATTGTGATTTCCTATTCTAAAGTATGTTATTATCTGCACAAATGTTGACATGATCCCATTAATTAATTAAAAAATCAATTCTGACAACTTTGTTTACCAGATGAGAATAATTTGTTTTTATTTTTAATATTATTTTTTATTATATGTTTAGAAGTTGTAGGGATTATAATACAAATTTACTTATTATGAATGAGATTATGAAATTAACAACATTTTAATATATTTTATTTGAATACTTAAAAGTTCTAGAATCTCAAATCTAATAAATATATTCTATAAATGACTTTTGGATATATTTAATGTAGATCATTTAAGTAAAATTAAATAGATTTTTGATGTCAATCAAAGTTTCAAATATATCTCCAATTAAATCATTATATAATATATTTTAAATAATCATAATAAAATATTTTGATAGATAGATTTTAAGAGTTCAAGACAAGATCAATATGTATTGGTTAGATTCAATCTCTACATTAATAAAATATATTAGAGGTATCTAATATTAATCTCATTCCTATTCATTAAAATTAAATATAATATGTCTAATTAGAAAACACCTAAATCCCACAACTCTTCCATCATCTATACACCAATACCATTAAGACTTTAATATAGTGCATCTCGTTCTAGTAAATAAGGTTCAAATTCTAACATTCTTTGGGATAGCACTTCAAAAGAGTCATTTTTATTAGCTCATTCGTAAAGTCCGTAAAAAGTTTTGTATCTAATCATTACTTATACTAATAGACTTTAAACATTTGAATCCTTATATCATGAAAGGCCTCATAATCCAATGACAAGAGATGAAAAATTTAAGGAACTTGAAAATCTTATCTCATCTTTTGATTCTGAAGCCTTTATTCAAGAAGTTGAACTATTTGATTGAGCTCACAAATACTTTTGAATTGTGAATAAAGTATTTTCATAATAAAGTATAAAAACTTATAAAAAATCAACTAAAAATATTGAATCTATTAAGTAACACATTCATAATCATGAGAAAAACTCATCTTGTTACAATCCTTGTCTTATTATTCATCATAATGATCACTATTAAAAATTTCGAATTTTTATTATTATAATTGATATGCACATTAAAGTAATACTATTTGCTATTCTTATCTCTATCATCTTCTCTAGAAAAATTAGATTAAGAAAATCAAACTTAATGCATATACCATTGATCTAAAAAGGTTAAAGAGTTTAAGATGCCATTAAATCAACTCTAGATTCTGATATAAAAATATCATTTAAGTTAAGTAGTGAAGAATAAGAATTTATAAAAAATTAGAATTTGTTATTAGATCATTTAGACAGACTTTAATATGCATTTTAGATTGCATATATTCCTTTAAGGTAAGAAATATAAAATATCTTTACAATTAGGAATTCATACAATGCTTAATATTTTGGTCAAATAGAGTTAGGATAGCCAGAATAACATTTTGAAGTTTTATTTGATACAGGCTCTTCATATACGTAAAATCATTATAATATAATTTAGATGGGTAGCTTCTAGTGATTGTCATACTTGCAAAAAAGCTGGAGTTAAACACTTTTTTGATTGTGAAGCATCAAACAGTTGTAATTATTTAAATAAGAAAATTAAATTATAATATGGTACTGGTAAAGCTGAAGCATAATTTATGATTGAGAATTTAAAAATAGCATCTTTTCTAATTCAAAATTAAACTATGTTAATTTTAGATGAATTAACAGAATTAAAAAAGTTTGAAGGAGATGGTTTAGCAGGACTTGGTTTTGATACACTGAGTGATGGATATCCAACACTAATTGATAATCTATTTACTTAAAATTAAATTGAAAAAAAGGTTATTTAATAATCTAAATTAGGAATTTTCAATTTATTTAACAGATGAATATATTAAATAAAATAGTTAATCTAAATTAATATTAGGTGGAAAATTGGATAATCTAGGAGATCACAATGATTAATGGCATTACTGCGATGTAATAAACAATAAATATTGGGCTATATAAGGAGATCATGTATCATTTGTATCTAAAGATGGTAAAAAAAGGAGATCATTAAAATCTATTTAGCCTATCCATAACAATTAAGATGAAAAAAGTGATATTTTATTTACATCTCTTTTTGTCATAGATTCAGGAACTTCATTAATAGTTTTATATGAAAAGGATCATTAAAGATTAGTTGAATACTTAAAAGACTTTGGAATTGAATGCTATGATAGTATTCAATATTAAGGAATAACTGAATGTGATCAAGCAAATATAGATGAATATCCCAACTTTGAAAGTATGTATTTTATTATTAAATTATTAGTTTCTTTATGTGGTAAGTTATTCACAATTCCACCTGAAAAGTATCTATTATGTTCATTTTTTTAATGCTATTTAATGATAGCACCTTTTGATTAAAGAGTTTCAATTTTAGGGGATCTATTCATAAGAGAATATTACACTCATTTCATTTAAGAAGTATATATAATTTATTAATATTAGTCACCTAGAAAGATAGGTTTTATAAAAACAGTTTAAAATTGATCAATTAATACATAAAAACTTTATATTATTTTAAATAATCTACAATCTAATTCCATCTATAATAATATTAAAAATAGAATCCTTAAATCTACTTTATGAGTGTGTTTATTTTGATAAATAATACTATATAATAGATTCTGTTGTCTTCTTTCTAAATAAACTAAATAGTTTAACTTTTTATATTGATAGTTTTCTTTTGATTTATATTTATATATATAATTTATGAAGTTGTTTAATTTATTTGGTACATTAAACAATAATGATCTAAAAAGATTTCTAAATTACAATAACAAGTAAAATAAGAATTATAATAATTATTTTAACTAAAATCAATAATTTAACTAATTCTAATAAAATAAGATTATAAATCTCTATTAACTTTACTGAGATCTAATAATTTAATATATCTTTGATTCATTATTTGATATATTTAAATTATACATTTGAAATAATAGATCATTTTATAGATTTTCATCTCATATTATCATTATCAATTAGATGAATAATAGCAAAGACATTTGAATGATTGAGGTCCATGAGGCTTCAATAACAGGAAGGGATGTCACTCCATTAAATGAAGCAGTCTAAAAATAGATTAATAATATTACTCCTTTGTATAAGGTACGTCCATTAAGATTTTGGACAGGACGATTGTTGGATTTATCAGGGAAGTAATCATCATTGTCAAGGAAATCCTAGAATTGCTTGAATTATGATTTAGAGATAGGCAATGGGGATGTAAAAACATACCAATTTACGGTTTAAGAACAAGGTCTATTTTTAGTTTTAAAGTATATACATAGTAGTAAGACTGCCAGTATAATGATAATAGGTTTTGTCAGTCATTTTTTGGAAGAAGTCACTTGTTTATAGGGAGTGCTTACTTCATATCAAAAGATGAAACTCTATTTACGGTGTCATCAAACCATGGCTTGAATACTTCATATTCGGTAGCAGTATTGGACTATTGGAAGAGTAGTCCAAAGACGGTCAATTTATTTCTAATGTCATTACAACTCTATTCACCATCTTCAACAGCCTAATAATATTTAAATTATACTTGATGCACAAAATGAACTTCTAAATCATAATTTTTACCATCTACTTAATGTTCAGAAGGTGTATGGATATGAAACTGTCTAGCATAGTATTTGTATTATAAATTGGATAAATCAAATGCAGTGATGAAATCATACTCTCCTTCTAATTCTTTTGTATAATCCCCTGAATAAATATTTTAAGAGATATACGTTAAGCTTCGAAATAATTTTTGGTTGAAGACTTCAGTATATAATTAATAGCTGGGAATGTAGTTTCTTTGGTGGCTGTAGACGTTACAATGTTTATGGGAGATTAAAAGCTAGCACCACATGTAACAACTTTGGCTACACTCTTAACACAAATAAAGTACTTTTCCAGTCATTTGCGTTCATATAATTCCAATCAGAAGGATCTGCATCACCCCAAGTTGAATTTTTAACGCCATCATTAAAAATAGGATCTGGCAATTGACAATAAGTTCTTTGGGCCACGATTGAATCAATTACACATATCAAAAGAATTGAGGTAAGAATCATCTTTAATTTAAATTATTATTTGTTCTCAAAACATAAAAAAGTATTTAATTATTACTATTAATAGATATGTTTGATATTATAATATATATTTAGTATTTCTGTCACTAAGACTATAGATGCAGTCTTAAATATGATAATTAGATATGATTATACCATTTAGGATATATAATTTGAAGATTGTTTATTTTATTATATTGAATAGATATTTATTGTTGATATAGTAAAATTGGTGATGCCAGAGAAGATTCTGTGTGACAAATTGTAATTACTTTACTATTTAACTATTTTTATATATTTTAAATCATTAGTACCTCAAATCGATATCCAATATATAATCTATAAAGAAAGTATTAAGGGATTTTATAATATTCCATGATACATTTCACTACAGCTGAGATTCATATATTAATTAACATTATAATTAATCATATGAATAAAAATTGAGTAGCTTTTATTTTTAGAATCATATTTAATTTTAATAATATATTAAAATTTATGTACTTTTATCATCTCAATTTATAAAATAGAATATAGGCTGTTTACATACATTGAAAGTCTATGTTACGCATTTCAACTCTTTCATCATCCCACATTTACCACATATTCATATTCTTAACATAACTTACATAATGGCCTCCTTTAGCATCTCCTAAATGGCAACAGATACCCATTAAATCATAACAATTAGTCTATATATATTATTCTAATTTTTATACTTTAACTTTTAATTCCTATCTAATAAAATAAGGATTTGTATTTTTAATTATATCATTTCTTTATAATATTAGGATTAATGTATTTGTCAATTAATCAACAATTTATATAGGTTTATCTTCTTTAAAAATATTCTAATAATTTAAGACTTAAGTAGGAATATCCAATTATTTACACCATAAGAATTCATCTAAATCTTTTGTTCTAAAAACTAAGTAAAGTGGAGAAATTGGTTCCCAAAATTCATTTTAATCACTAATGTAACCATATACACAATAAACATCAAAATTAATATGAGTTTATTCTAATTATTGTCTAAGTAAATAATATAATTAATGTTAAGTTATTTTTTAATCTAAATATAAATATCGAGATCGTTAAACTGTTTATGTTATATCATGTTCAACATATTATAAAACAATTCTCTAATATATTTTTATATATCTTACTCAATCTTATATAAAAATTCATCAACCTAAGTTTCTACATGATAAGTATATAGATCAAATTCCATCTTATCTGCTACATGCCAATTAAATTATTCTGAAGAACCAGGTATCATTTTAAACATTCTCATACTTTATTAATTATCATTTAGATCAACTAATAATTCTAAATTATTGATATCAACATTTTATTCCCATATGTAATATAATATATCTTTCACCCAACTTTAATGAATATATATACAATTTTTATGTTCAGGTATTTCACAATAAGGAGATTCATTAATTATTAAGCATGAATCTAAAAGTTTGCTCTCTGATAATAAAAATAACAATATTTCAAAAGCATCTTATGGTTCTTAATTCTATGGATTTGATGAAAAAAGCATAGGTTATCTCTTTCTAAGTTCAATCCAAAACAATTCTAAGTTTTTTGCATCATGACACTCGTTTAAATATTAAAGTGTGTCTAATAAGAATGATTGAAATAAATCATCTTAAACCTAGGTTACAAATAGACTTTTAGATAAACAAATTAAAAGAGAATTTAGAAAACAACTATTTCCTTGATTCTTGATCCCTTTTAACATTTATATTATAAATTATTAATAATTATATTTGACTTTTCAATTCCTTTTTAGTACTCAATTGTGTAATTTACTATATAATTAGAAATTAAATGAGTTTATTATTTGTAGGATTAATTAGTTAATGAATGATTAGAAAAGAAGTACTTTATTGTAATATTAAATTAATGTATATTTTAATTTTGTTTATGTAATTTTATTAATTTTTTTTTTTTCAGGAAAAATCATAAAAATATAATCAACATATTTTAATTAAATATTCCCTTAATCACATAATAAGATATTTAATAAAAATCTATGTTAAATTCTAAATATAATCATAATTTAATATTAATAATATAAATAACAGTTAAAACTTTTGAAAAATGAATAACATATAAGGATATGGATTAGATAAACCATCAGTTAGATTACATTAAGCACCTGGAGGAAATTCATCAATTTCATTTGTACATACCATATTTAAAACCTCAAGGGAGATTATACTCCTTAATAGCAAGTACCTCAACCTTTAGGAAGAAAACAAGTCAATCAGCCTCCTGTTTAATAATAACAATAAGATTAGAAAACATCAGTTAAAGTAAGAAATCCTCCAGGTGGCAGATCATAAATTTAGTTTGGATGAGTATTAATTATATAAATTACTAAAGTCATCATTTAAAAAATCCTATAATTAAAGTAATATCATCTATGACTTCATCTTCTCTTTACCAAGCTTCTCTTGCAATTGATAATAATTTAACACATGCACCATTCACATCTCCTTTTTTATAAAATTCATATACAATTTAAACAACTAAGTCATTTTATAAAAATCTAATTAAACATAAATAATACTCCCAAATACCATCAGATGCAACAATGACAAATTTATCAGATTCTTATAAAGAATATTTAAGAATTTCAGGTTCACAAATAACACCAACTTAACTAGCAACATAATCTCCAAAACTTCTTGACATAGCTAAACCAGGAACATCTTCATTCATAGTCCAAACTCTTGCTGGTCCAATTGATTATCCATCTTCATCATAATAAGGTAATACTCTTCCACCTCTACTTAATATTCTTGTCTATTCTAAAAAACAATCAGGTTTATGATCTTTTGATAATTCAACAACAGAAAGTTTGCCATTATATCTTCCAATAATTGCTCTGCTATCTCCTATATTAGCACAATATAATTCATTATTAAAAGTGATTACAACAATAGTAGTAGAACCAGAATAGGTTATATCAATACCACTTTTTAATAATTCTTAATTTGTTCTTAAAAAACATTATTTCAAAATTTTATGTATTGATCTATTCTTTTCATATTAATTTTATAGTTATTTTAATTCTTCCTCTACAAATTAAGGCAAAGCTTCATAAATAAATTAAGCAACCTAATGTCCATAAGTTCCATGGCCATCAGAAACTTAAAAATACCAATCATTCTCTTATCCACAAAATTTTTGTATTAACTTGTAAGTATCTTGATTTATTTTTTTTTATCCTGTATGCAACATTCCAGCCTAAGATAATCCATAAGCCTTTATAATTTAATATTCGGGTACTAATATCTCAGGATTACTAATAGAACGAGGTCCTTTAAGTAATTTAAGAATCTAAGGTTTTTTCGCTAAATCTAACAATAGCTCATATTATTTTTTGACATCTGGCTTATTGTATTATACTATATCATTTTTGGGTCTAACCAACTTTTCAGACTTAATTTTTTTGAGTAAATTCAAGGCAGAAGTAGATAAGTAACTAGAATTCTCTTTACAGTCTATGATTTTGCTGTTCTAACGCATATGTGTATTTTAAGTTAAAATAGTACTTAGATTGTTACAATCTATACTACTTTTAGGTCTAGTCTTCTTTGCATTTATTAATTGTTTACTATTCCTATTAATTGGAATAGAGTGCCTAATCCATAGAACTATATGATAGATACTTATTTGGTGATATTATTGGAGATATGAGACTGGCTTGTTGCAATTCTTCTTTTCTCTTTCGAAGATATTCAAATAATTTGTTAGGAGATGTAAGAGACTTTTACATTAATTAAACGTAGGTGATTTGTTTAAAATTATTTTATAACATCATTTTCTTGAATTTCCTCTTGTTTTCATTGTGGATCTATTTACATCATTTCTTTCAAGATTGGAATTATAAACAAATGTTCTTTAATCATAATTATTCTAATTTGTAAGATTAATGACTTATTGTTTTTGAACTTAAGATTAAAATTGATTGATGGATTTTCTATTAAATAGTTATCTTTTTTAATCTAATAAAAATTATATGTAATTATTTACCATGATTTTTAAATTTTGACAAATCATTTGAATACATCATAATAAATTAATACAAGTCATCCCAATTATTATTTTTATTGTTTTGATCTACACTTTTCTATTAATAACCTGGTTAATTCATCTCTACTTCTGTTGGATTATAAGTCAATTTAATTTTGATACCAATTGAAGGTGATTCTTAATCATCATTTATATTGTCTCTGATTATAATTTAAATCAATACTATTCAAAGGATGTTATTTATGATAATCCAGAAATGTTTTTTGTTATGATTTCTGTTATTAATATACAGGTTGGTATAGCACCTGCAGTTCCTAATAATTCAATTGCTTATTATTAATTGTTTCTATCTCTTAACTTCAACACAGCTTAACATAAATAATCTTATTATTTAAATAATTTATGTACTAGTCAATTCTAAAGTATCTATATTTCTACTAGAACCTGAAATCTGAATAATAATAACAAGTACCTTTGATCTAAATTTAATGAGCCATCAAAGTTTACATATTTTTATAATTATTATTATTATTATATAAATTAATTCATTTCCTAAGATTTTTTAATTATTCTCTTATATATATTGTACTATTTGTATGTTTAAGCTTTGAATTTATGGGATCATGAGATTATGTTTAATCAAGAATACTACTACTTTCTAATGTTAATGTTTCTAATTTCTTATTGGATATTTTATTTGATTCAGTCAGGATTTATGTATCATCTGATTATTTAGTTTATAATGTAAATTGAAATTTATCCATCATTTAACATTTAAGTTTCTTTTAAACATCTTCTTCATTTTAATTCTTTTCTTATGTTATTGAACGCAATCTATCATTCTTTTATAAATCCATTATATTTGATTGTCTTAATTATGCTTCTGATTTTTTATATCCTTAAGCTTTGATCTTTGAAAAATCTTAATTGGCTTCTTCAAATGACTTTTTAATTATTTGATATAGTTGTTAAGTATTATCTATTTTAAGTTTCCCAATCTTTCCTGTCAAATGAGATATCTTATCATCAAATACTTATAACTTAGCATCAAAATTAGATTTTAACTAATCAAATAGATTGTTAAGAGATTCTAATCTATCACCCAATGATTCTATTCTATCGAACTTCTAGTTGATTTACTTTAATCTCTCCTCCAATTTGAATATCTTACGTTCTACATTTTATTCTTGAAACTAAATCCTCTCCTCTAGGTTCTTTATTTTATAGTCTATCATAAAAAATTTAACGATTTTAATTATATAACATCATTCTTTTACAATTTCATCATTCTACGATTAGTTCTCATCATTTTAAGATTTATTTTCTAAACTTTTAAGACTTATTTTGGTTTCTTAAATATGATGATTTATTTTCTAGATTTCTTCCTTATATTAGTTGATATTATCTTCTTACTATTTTAATTATCAATTTTATAATTTACTTTTATTAACTCATCAACAAGATGATTAATACCTTTTGCATGTTCATAAATTTTATATACTATCTCAACGATATCAAATATTTTAATTAATACATTCTTTGCTACTTCAGGTTAACCATTTTCTTCTAATATTTTTTATTTCAAATTTAATAAGAACTTAGTCTTCTCACCTTCCAACTTAGTTATATGCATTACATTTTGATATCCAAAACGATTTATTAAATCCTCACCATTATTCTTCTCAAGTATTTATTCCTTATAAATATAATCAAATTTCTACTTTGAATTCTAACCAATTATACAAATCAGGATTTTCTTTATAAAAAATTAAAAGAATCCAACGAAATAAGCTATGTATTGGATTATTTAGGTCCTTTGAAGATATCTTCAATTTTACTAATATTATATTGTTAAATTACAAAGATCTTTTATATTGATAGAATTGGCCAATTCTCTTCTAATTTATGTTTCAACTTTAATATTTTGTTTTTCATCTTCTATTTCCTATTTAATTTAAAATTCAGGATTCTTTAATATTAGTTACTACCTCTTTTTGCGATCCACATCTAAACTTTTATTTAATTCATCCTTTAAAGAAGCAGAATCATGATCACCTTAAGAATGAGAGTTTCCTTAAGAATTACCATCTACAGTATCCTATAGCTGAGGAATTTCAGATGGAATTTTCATTTATGAATTTATTTTAGTTTAATACAATAACTCTTAGATAGAATGTAATATTATTAGTTCACTAAATTCTAATGCATAATATATATAATAAAAGATAAAGTGGAATTAATAGTACTAAATTAAAAAATCAAATATATAGACAATTTTGAATAAGCAGAATAACCTATATTAAGAGAAAATAAATAAGAATAAAATCAGCAAAGAATATAAAATTTTCAAAATAATGCTACTGACTTTACATTTCTTAAAAAAACTGATGTAGTTGAATTAGAATAGAATAGTGGATTAGAAAGATATATTGTTAAATAATTGATATAATAAAAGAAATTAAAGCATTTAATTAGTAAAAACTGAAACCTATTAAATTACTTTATTAATTATTATTTATTAATAAATATTATTAATTATTAGCTTCTGTAGACAAAGCTTGTCATTCTTACAGTAACATAAAAACAGATGGAACAAAATACTTTAGGGTCATTTATATGTTTATTCCATTTACAGAAATAATTATTGCTTAAAATATTACATTATCATCCAAAACTAATTAGGAGGCTATGTTGATTAATTTAATCAATAAGTTTTGATATTATAAAGGATATTCAGAAACAATATTTATAAGAGCTTTTTAATGATCCAATAAAATTTAATGGGTATTTACTTCTCAATAAATCTTATGATGGATTAATTTTAGATGATTAGAAAAGGGGATTTGATATTTTATAATAGATAATAGGAGATTTTTATTATAGCTTAAAATGAATATTGATTATTATGTGGTGAAATCTCAAGGATTTATCTTTGAGATATTATATTAAAAACAATAGTTTTGTATTGATTGATTTATTATTCTATAGAATTAAATCATTTTGTTATTTATGTTGTTTAGGAATTCTGTTTGAGAAGGTTATTGAGAGAGTGTAAAATGTTTAATAATTTCTGGATTCTGTGTGTTACATTTTGATAAATAAATTTAATATATGAAACCAAATCATTGTGACACTATATTTAACGATGACTAGTTCTAGACTCCGACAAGATAGCAGAAAAGAGTTATAACTGAAACTACAATTAAAAAACCATTCCAATAGAAATAGAGATAATGTACTTGTAAAAAAAGTTAATGTCTGAAAATGTATTGCGATTGCTTGGCTTTTGGTGAGTATTGTGGAAGCGAGTGTTCATGTTAAAATTGTCATAATGATGATAAACACCCTGAATAAAGAAACAAAGTACTTGAATAAATGGTTGAGAAGAATTCTTCTGCTTAGATTAAATGTAATTGTCGTAAAAGTAATTGTTAAAAAAAATATTGTGAATGTTATAATGCAGGAGTGAAATGTTCAGAATTATGTAAATGCGATGATTGTAAAAACAGTGTAAAATTGGGTTACAACTAATTTTAAATAGGAAACCAAAAGTTTATATTAATTCCAGTTTAAACTTTTGAATAGTTGAAGTCACAATAAAAATGAAGCACATAAAATTGAGCATCACATTTTTCCAAATCATAAACAAATAACATATAAATAATTATATATCTATTTATATAAATTATCTTCTTATTATTGATATTTATATATATTAGATACTATCATATAGTCTCTAATTAAATAATATTGACCTTCAAATAATGAATATTTTTAATTAAATTTTATATGATTTTATTTATAATATCACTCATCACATTTATTAATTGTGATTGTATACCTTATGGAATAAGATTATCTTTAGGACATTATTATTCAGCTCTTAATGATATTAATAACTATATGACACTCACTTTTAATTCTTAAAATATTTGTTTAGATTATGTGGTACAGATCATTACTGTATCAAGCATCCATAATATCTAAGTTAATAATTATTAATTACTAAATATGACAGATATTTACAAAGACTCAGAAAATATAATTAATTATGAAACATATATTTATGATGTAAAGTTTGGTTAATTTGATGGTTTAATTGAAGGAAAGTAATATACTTTTGTGATATTTTGGGAAAATACAATAATTTCAGGTCCATTTTATTTTAGTGTTCCATCTAAATCTTTAAATTATTCAAGTAAATTTATTGTAATGGGGGATATGGATTCTAATTGGAAATTAAATACTTCTAAATAAACATTTGATTGGTTTAAAAATTAAATTACATAAACAAAATTTTATGATGGTATCATTTATTTAGGTGATATGGCATATGATTTAGAAGATGATAATTGTATTGTTGGAGATAATTTTCTTAGAAATATAAGTTTATTTACTTCACATTTTCCATTTATGTTGACACTTGGAAATCATGATTCAGGCAAAAATGATGAATTTGTTTATATTAGAAAATCATTTGCTACTCCAAGAATATCTGAATATGATAATCAAATTAAATATAATGATTTTTATTCATTTTAAGTTGGACATGCATATTATGTATAATTCCATCCTTATAAAATTGCTTATGGGAACAAAGATGAAACATACTTTAATTATACTTTATTTTAAATGGAATAAGAATTAAGAAGAATTAGATTATATGAAAATACATCTTGGTTAATTGTTTATAACCATTATCCATTTTATTGTAGCAATCCAGATGATGGATTTTGTTAAGATCATTATAAAAAAATGAAATAATTTGAAGATATTTTTATTAAATATCATGTAGATTTATGTTTAGCTGGACATCAACACACATATGAAAGAGATGAACCATTAGCATATAATAAGATTGCTTAATTTGATAAATATGAAAATAATACTTATACAAATCCTAAAGCACCTATATATATTGTAGAAGGAGCTGCTGGTAATGATGAAATAATGCCTGATAATATTTGTATTAATTTATTTGACTTTAGATCCACCAAAATTTTATACTAAATTTTAAGCTGCTGGTGATGGTATAGGTATCTTAGAAATAAAAAATGAAACTCATTTATATTTCGAACATAGAATGAGTATAAATGATTCAATTGTTGATTATCTTTGGATTGTAAAAACTAAAATAGTTCCAGATGATGATGATGATAAAGTTAAAGATTCCATTCCTATATGGGTATGGATATTAATAGGTGTTGGAGTATTGTTAATAATTGCTTTGGTTATATATTGTGTTCTAAAAAATAAAAAATCAAAATAAACCCATGATGAATTTATTTGATGATAAAATTAATTTTAATTATATAATATGTCTTAATAACATTATTATTATTGTCATTAATAATTATAAAAACTCACTTTGATGTTATTTTTTCAATAAAATTATTATTAATGAGAAAAAAATCTTTTTAAGATAATGGAATTTATTTAGAAAAACATGCAAAAGCATTACTAGATTATTAATAAACATCAGATTAAGAAGATATTAATACTTAATCTAAATATCGAATCAAAGCTATCAAATATAAAAATAATCTTTTAGAATCATAAGAAGTAATTAAAGCATTAAAAATGGAAAATTAAGAAAGTGCAATTGATTAGAAATTAATTATTTAGAATAAATTATTAGCGAATTACTCTTAGATATTGAAGAAATGAGGGAAAGAGAAAAATTATTAGAATCTGAATTATAAGAATAAAAATAACTAACAAAATCAGCAATTTAATAATTAGAATAAGAACTCTAAGAATCTGTTGAAGATCGATTACTTTAAGAATAAAAGTTATTCTAAGAAAAACTTATTATCTAATCAAATGATGCTATTGAAAAACTCAAGAAAAATTTTGATGAATAACTCTAAATAATTGCACAAACACATCACCTGCCAAAAAAAAAAAGAAGATACATCTTTTAGTACAACAAATCTAAGACCATAAAGTTAAACTACTGGTAGATCTAATATTAATGTAGCCAAAAAAAAAATAATATACATAAATAAAATTATTTGTTATTCTATCAATGTAAAAAAATTTACCAGGTGGAAATTCTCATCTCAAATCCAGTTTACATTTACATGATATTGTCTATCTTGGTGCTCACAATTCACCTATGGCTAGTTGTTATGGATGGAAATACACACAATAAAATGTGACTATAACTGAGTAGTTTGAAAAATATGGTGCTAGACATTTCAAAATTCCTTTACATTGGCATGTCTAAAATGGTGTTCCTTAAGTATTTTATTTATTCTACTAGATTGTTATTGCCCATGAAGAAAATGGTAAATCTAATTGTAAATTGTCTCTTGCTTAGAGATTAGCATCGAAACCAGAAAAAGCTGTTGATCGTCTTAAAGAATTAGTTAATTTAACTTTTAAATATCCTGATGAAGTTATTATTATGAAATTAGAGAGTAAATTANTTCCATTCCTATATGGGTATGGATATTAATAGGTGTTGGAGTATTGTTAATAATTGCTTTGGTTATATATTGTGTTCTAAAAAATAAAAAATCAAAATAAACCCATGATGAATTTATTTGATGATAAAATTAATTTTAATTATATAATATGTCTTAATAACATTATTATTATTGTCATTAATAATTATAAAAACTCACTTTGATGTTATTTTTTCAATAAAATTATTATTAATGAGAAAAAAATCTTTTTAAGATAATGGAATTTATTTAGAAAAACATGCAAAAGCATTACTAGATTATTAATAAACATCAGATTAAGAAGATATTAATACTTAATCTAAATATCGAATCAAAGCTATCAAATATAAAAATAATCTTTTAGAATCATAAGAAGTAATTAAAGCATTAAAAATGGAAAATTAAGAAAGTGCAATTGATTAGAAATTAATTATTTAGAATAAATTATTAGCGAATTACTCTTAGATATTGAAGAAATGAGGGAAAGAGAAAAATTATTAGAATCTGAATTATAAGAATAAAAATAACTAACAAAATCAGCAATTTAATAATTAGAATAAGAACTCTAAGAATCTGTTGAAGATCGATTACTTTAAGAATAAAAGTTATTCTAAGAAAAACTTATTATCTAATCAAATGATGCTATTGAAAAACTCAAGAAAAATTTTGATGAATAACTCTAAATAATTGCACAAACACATCACCTGCCAAAAAAAAAAAGAAGATACATCTTTTAGTACAACAAATCTAAGACCATAAAGTTAAACTACTGGTAGATCTAATATTAATGTAGCCAAAAAAAAAATAATATACATAAATAAAATTATTTGTTATTCTATCAATGTAAAAAAATTTACCAGGTGGAAATTCTCATCTCAAATCCAGTTTACATTTACATGATATTGTCTATCTTGGTGCTCACAATTCACCTATGGCTAGTTGTTATGGATGGAAATACACACAATAAAATGTGACTATAACTGAGTAGTTTGAAAAATATGGTGCTAGACATTTCAAAATTCCTTTACATTGGCATGTCTAAAATGGTGTTCCTTAAGTATTTTATTTATTCTACTAGATTGTTATTGCCCATGAAGAAAATGGTAAATCTAATTGTAAATTGTCTCTTGCTTAGAGATTAGCATCGAAACCAGAAAAAGCTGTTGATCGTCTTAAAGAATTAGTTAATTTAACTTTTAAATATCCTGATGAAGTTATTATTATGAAATTAGAGAGTAAATTATTAGAGAGGTCTAAAGATAATGGAACATTAGGGTGGAGTGATATTGAAGTGGCTCAAAAATTGCATAATTTATTAGTTGATATTAAAGCAAAATAAAGAGTTATAAGATTTTAAGAAAATAATGTGCCTACATTAGGATGGTGTAGAGATAATTAAAAGAATATTTTGATTACAATTGAACCTAGAGAATAAATTTTAGGTGATTTACAAGAATATACTCATGATTCTTATATTGTAAGTGCTTAAGTTGATTGGGAAACTGATCCTTCAAAAGATGTCACAACTGGAGATGTTGCAAGAGGTAAAGTCAACAAAAATAATGGATATATTTAGTCACCTTTTTTAGAAATCCATTTAAATCCAGAAAATAGCTTAAAGTATAAATATGATATTAAACTTAAGACTAGATATTTAGTATAGAAAGTTGTATAATCAGTATGACCATGTCAAGAAAAGATTTTTATAATATAATAAACATTGTGGCAAAATGCCTAACTTTGTTGTTGCTGATTTTGTAGATCAGGGAGATCTTTCTAAAATAATAGATGAAATAAACACAAATATCAATCAAAATGATGGTTTTAAATCTGAGTTATTATGAAATAATAAATAATCACATTAAATAAATTATCAATATTGGAATATTTAATCTGATTTATAGAGTTTATATTCAAAAAAATCAAATCTACTTTCTATTGTTGGAATCTACTTGATTTTTTTTAGAAAATCACTATTTCAATATTTATTATTTACATATCATAATTATTTATTATTTCGCAAGTCTATTTAGAATCAATCAAATTCTGTAATTATTCACATAGAACTTCTATTTATTATTTTTCAATTAAAGTTTCTAAAGAAAATATTTGATCATCTTTTGTTATATTTGAAATATTTTATTACTATTTTTGCTGATAAATTTTGAATTTTATATTACTAATATCATTTGTAAGAGTCTTTTATTAACTAAAAAATTCCATCTTTATTTTCTAACTAAGTTCTTATTATTTATTATTATTGTCTTAAAAATACAACTTCAACAAACTTATAAAATGAGGGACATCACAAAGTTCAAAAATTATAGGTAAAAAGTCTGATATAATCTGATGTATCATTGCAAATCCACGTTTAATTTCCTAAAAACCAATCTATTTAATAATATATTAAATTTTTAGTATATTTATATTATCTTATTAATTCAATTTGCTAAATTCTTCTGCTATTGTTTTACAAAGCATACTTTTTCTATATAAATTATCTAAAATAGTATAAATTCTTTAAAATATTTGTTGATTATCTTCATCAATTTTTTAAATTTTATTTATTTAAGTCATTGGTTAAAATAGTGGATCTTTTAATAAAATAATTTCATATTGGAATAAATCTTCAAAAGAAATTCTCTTATTCTAATCATAGAGTATCATTTTCTCAATTAGATCAGCCACTAATTTTCCATCTTAGTCTTCTACAATTTCACATTTAAATGGATCCTCTTTAATTCTCTAAAAAAAATTATGTAATTATTATTAAGTGTTATATTATTCGGGGTATCTTCTATAAAACAATATTTAATGAAATAAAATTCCATAAGAATAAATATCACACTTTCCAGAAAAAAACTAATCTTTATAATAAATTTCAGGGGCCAAGTAATTATAGGTACCTACTCTACTCATGTCTTATTGTTCATAAATATCATTTAAAGTTTTTGAAAATCCAAAATCAGCTAACTAAAAATAAATCTTTTAAGTCTACCTTAAAGATTCTTTTCTGATCTATTTAATTTGGATTTAAAACTTTTACAAGTATGTTTTATGGTTTAATATCTCTGTGAACAATTTTTTTTTTTCTCAAAATTTAAGCTCCTTTGAGGATTTATCTAATCATATTAAATTATTCTTATCTATTAAACCATTTATTATTTTTTTTATATTTTGAGAATAATTTCTCTAGATCATCATCACATAATTCCATAACAAAACAAAATTCATCATCTGTTTCTATATGATCTATTAATTTAACTAAATTATCAGAGTATATATCTTTTAACTACTTAAATATTTTTAATTCAGCTTCTAATGTATTTCTTATTTTTTTTTCAGAAATATTAGGTTTCATTAGAATCTTCATACAATATAATACATCTTGATTAACTTTTTTATAACATTAAAGAACACGTCCAAATGAACCCTATCCTAACAATTGATTAGTTTTTATAATATAATCACCTCTCTATTCTATTTGTTGCATATTCGTAAAGTATATGAATGATATGCTTATTTATTAAATAAATATAATAAAATATTTAAAGAACTTTCTAAATAAAATGCTATTTAAAATTATAAGTTTTCTCTTTCTCTAATTAAAAAAATAAGAGGATATATAATTTGAGATTAATGATAATTATTATAATAGTTTTTTAAGATATAATCAACAGTTTATATAATACATTATTATTAATATAATATTTAAATGTATTTAATTTTGTTTCACTCATTATTGATTTCATATATATCATTTGGATTAATAAAATAATAATTGGCAATATCAAATTTAGTCTCTATTTTCTTGATAATTTAAATATATTGTTGAATCTTTCTAAATTAATATATTAAAGTATATTTACTGTTCAAATTTTATAATTTGTTAACTAATTTTCTAATTATTTATCCATTCTTCTAATAATAGACAACATCTATTAATTTCTATTTTTTATGATTATGAATCTTCCATAAATTAAATAACATCTTTAATTTAATTATTGTTTGGATATTATTTAATCTTAAGAATGAAAGTATTATAATCATTTTAAAAATTTTTTAATTAATTGTAAAATTCATCTTTAACTTTTTGATGAAGTTTGCTTCTCCTTTAATTTGTTTTTGAATCTTCAAAGTATTTTTATAAAATATTAATTAAAAGAGGAATATCATGATTATTTCGAATAAAAGGTTATAAGTCAGATACTATAGAGTGTAACATTGCAAAACCAAATTTAATTTCTTCATAACCTATTATTTAAATCAATTATTAAATAATTAGTAATTCGATATTTGGAACAATTATTTCTTTTTTGATATAATTAACTACAGATTTACATAATATTGATTTTCTGTAAAATATATCAATAAGTTAATCTATTTTAGAGTATTTATTATCTTTATTCTCAATTTTTTATCTTTCAATCTCTTATTGATTAAATTTTTTATCAAATTATATAAAGAGAGAATCTTATTACATTGGAAGAGATAATGTTACTATTTAATGAGATAATAAGTTTTCAAATGAAATTCTATTATCTTAATTAAAAAGTAGCATATTTTAAATTAAATCTGTAAGCAAATTACCATAATCTCCTTACAATTTTTCGCATATATATGGTTATTTTTCAATTTTTGTAAGAAACTTCTACATTTATTATTAATTCAAATAATTGTCTGGAAATTATCCTTTATAAACAATCTAATGAAAGACAACTCCATAAGAGAATATATCACATTTAGCAGAGAAATTTTGAGCTCTAATTATTTCAGGAGCACAATATAAAAAAGTACCTACTCTAGTCAAATCAGCTTTTTTGTAAATGTCATCTAATGTTCTTGCAAAACCAAAATCAGCTAACTAAATAATAAATATTTATATTAACTTTATATATTTTTCTTTGATTATTTTTTCCTTTATTAACAACTTTCACTAATATATTTTAAGGTTTAATATCTCTATGAACAAATTTATTCTCAATTAAGATTTTTGTTCCTTTTAGTATTTATCTAATAATATCAATTTATTCCAATCTTGAAAACCATTATTAGTTTTATTTTAATTGATTATACTCCTAGTATAAATCATAATCACATAATTCCATTATTATGCATAATTCCTAAGGTAATTCAAACATATCAATCATTTTAACCAAATTTTCACAATCTGCAAACTTTAATTCTTAAATTGCATTAATTTCAGCTTTAAGTTGTTTCTTTTTAAAATCTTAGTCTGAATCATTTAACTCTATTTTTTTTATGATTTTCATGCATAATTCTTCATTAGGATTTCCTTTTCTATAGCAAATGAATGCTGATCCAAAAGATCCTTTACCTAATAATTTGTCAAATTTAACAATATAATCTCCTCTTGATTCTGTTATCATTTCTATTACTTTAATTATGAATAAAATAAATATCAAATTTAATTTTTATATTTATAATGAATCAATACTAATAGAAAAGAATTAAAGATGGATAATAAGTTAAATTTAATTCATTATTATTATAATCTCAAATTTTAAGCTAATGGTATAATGAATTCCTCTGCTTTTGTTACTTCTTAATTAATAGTGAATTCAAGTTTTTAATCTTTACTATTAATAATAACTTTTTGAATTGTTATTGTCTCAAAAATAGTTTATGCATCTTATCCTTTGATAGATATTTAAAATTTATTATCATCTAGTGCTTTAATAGTGTATATAGCTATGCAATTGGAACCTTTAGTCCAACATTTAGCTGCAACCTTATTATCATCACTTTCATCAAAATTTGATAGAGTCATAATTTAACCAACAGCTAATCCATCAGAATTGAGGAAGGCATATATACTATATTTAGAATCTAATAATCTAGCTCTCTATTATGGAACTTATCTGAATACTAGAGTTCTAAAAATATTGAAGATATAAAATACCCTTCTTTTTAAAATGATAAGGCTTATTCATTGAAACCTCTTGTAAATTTTTATACTTCTTTTTCTTTATATGTATAAATTGTCTTAAAATCTTCACAATTAATCCAAGAACCTTTAGGGAAATAAACATTTATAGTTGTTTTTTCAGAGGCTGGATCTTAACTTTTACTTAATACAGGAGCAACTAAGAAAGTATTACCAAAAAGGAATTCAGAATCTTCAAATTAATATGCAAAATCATCTTAGGGATTATTCCACCAAATGGGTTATATAATAGTACCTGTTCCTGCTCCTAAATCTGGTTCAAATGAACTGACAAACAATGAATACATCCATTTAAGAAGAGAATATCGATTTTAAAAAGCTGCAACTGAAGCACTCTTAACATATTCTTATGTAAAAGCATATGGTTCTTGAGAAATACTTTCATTATCATTATGATTACGAGCAAATGGCTCCCAAGCACCTAAAGCTAACCAACGAGCACATAATTCAGGATTAGTATTACCAGCAAATCCACATAAATCATTACCAACTAAGGGAATACCATAAAATTAGAAAGATAATAATTCAGATACACCTAATCTCAAAAATTCCCAATCAGCTATATTATCTCCTGTCCATAAAGCTGTGTATCTTCCTGAACCATAAATAGAGCCACGAGTAAGTGAGAATGTCAATGTTTTATTTGTAAATTTCTATAAGGTCTTATGAGTAGCAATCTATTCTGCAAGATTATTTAATGAATGGAAATATTATTCTTTAACAGGAGTTTTTAAAAGAACTCCATCTTCTTTACCATAATGTACTGCATTCAAACTAACAGTTTTATGAGCTAATGGTTAGAAACCAGTAACAAGTACTGGAAACCAAAGTCTATCATCAATTTCTGGTTTGACAGGGGGAGGACTAGGAGGATTTGCACCATAACATGCTTCATCTTTAGATGTATCTCTTTCTCCTGGTATAAATGAAGCCATTTCATTCATATCAATCCACCAACCTGATGGATTCATTCCTTATTCTCTCATTAATTCTGAACAATTTGTCCAATATGTTTATGTTTTTGGATTATTAAAATCTGGGAATACTACAGCTCCAGGCCAAACACATCCTTCTAAATTAGATGGTTTTGATTCTTTATTATAAACTGAAGATTTAAGGAAGATATCAAATTCATTTCCTATTTCTTCTGCTTTTGTTTAAGTAGCAATACCAATATCAACTAAAGGAACCCAATGAACACCTTAAGGAGTTGATCTATCAACTATCTGTTTCATTTCATCTACTTTGAAATTTTTAGTATCCAATGTAAAAACTTAATAATTAGTCATATAATCTAAATCATTCCATAAAGATTCTACAGGATGATTTATTTTTGCCATTTCTTCTAAGACTTTTATCATTTATGCAGTAGATTTATAACCCCAACGACATTGATGATAACCTTATGCCCAAAATGGATGTAATCCAAATCCATTTATGTATCTATGATAACTTTTTATAACTTTTTCAGGTTCACCTTATCCTATGAAAAATTTAAGAACTATGTTTCCACCTACAACATGAAAAACCATTCTTTATGCTTCATCTATTTATGTTAACAATGCAGATGTGCTCTTCAATAATCCAACATGATAATTTTAGGATTTCTCATAAGTTAACCACATAGGATGATATCCATATAATTGATTACCTGGTGTTCCATAATCATTTGTTCCAAATTAATCTTTGGGCCATGTAGTGTAATTACCTGATCCTTTGTAACGTAATTCCTTTCTCCTTTGTCCCATACCATATAAGTATTTACTATTGAGTGTTGTTGCAAATTAAGTATAATCTTAAGCCACTATCAATTGATGTCCTACTGAATCAAATATTGTATCTATATCTTTTCCATCTTATACTCTAAATATTGTAAATGATCCATTTTATTTTAAATCAACCCTGTAACTCTTCTTACCATCCTTTGTATCCTTAGAATTTGAGTCTCTTGGAAAGTATTCAGAGTCTTCTGGAAGTTCAAATCCAGGTTCATCAGCATTTCCAATCTTTACAGTAAGTTCATTATCTGAATCCATTCTTACCTTTACACGAACTCTTTTTGCTAATGTGTTATTGAATTTCTCATTCCAATAAGTATCAAGGACTACATTCTAATTGTATACTGTTTCTAACAATATAGAATTAGAATCTTCTGAACTTATAATAGCATAAGCTGTAAATCCTGCTATGCCTGCTAAGGTTAATACAATTAGTATTATAGACTAGAATATAATGAAATGACTTACACCAATAGAAGATGGCTTCTTATTTTCAAAGCTTAATGATTCATCACCAACACTTGACATAATTTAAAAAATTAATATCTAAAAATATAGAGTGAATATCATTGGTATATATATTTCTCTTTTCCTTCATCTTAGATATTCTCTTTTGACATTTAAATTGAATGTAACCCATCACCATACAATAAGTTTTAATCATCACTCTCAGAACCGAACTCTTAATGGATTTAGTTAATTTTTGTATTGTAATCACTCTTTGGTGTTTCAGTACTAAATTTAAAAAATATAATTACACTCTAAAAAATTACAAAGGTCTAGATTTATCAGCTCTCCATAACGTAATTCCATTATTAACAATCTTACTTAATTCAACCCATTTTTATCTTGCCTTATGATTCAATTATGTTTGATTCTGCAAATAAGGACGAAGACGAGGATTGTTATTAAGATGAGGGAATTTTTCTTTAATCTTTTCTCTAACATCATCCAATTTAGGTGCAAATTCTTACAATTTCCCTTTGAAAAGATTATAAAAGAATAGAAGCAAAAATATAGCATTCAAAATAGCAATCAAAACATATCCTGCATATGTTAGACCATAAAAGTCAATATCAATTGTTCTATATAGAAATACACCCACTATTAGGGATAAAGATAAGACTACTGTAGATAATTAATCTAGATCATTGATCACTCTTAAATTATAAGGATTAAAGTGTGTACTAAGTCCATAATAAGCATAAACTACAAGAAAAGATAAAATACCCTAAAATAAGATAACATTATTACTTTAACAATGATCTCCTCTTGGAAATAACATATAAGAATACTAATCAAAGATCTATAAAATATCTTTAGGAATTCCCAATAATATCTATTTCTTCTGTATTCATGATAAAAGAAACCCCAAGATTAACTAAATCTAAATGAATTCAATTTCATTTATTAGGCTCCTTAATAACATACATACCAAAAAGCTGTTGGTAAGACAAGAACCCACAATAATAAACCAGGTACTCCAAATCCAGCAATCCATTAATCATGTTTAAAAGTGTCATATCTATATGATACATTAGCCATTATGTAATAATTTCCTGAGATTACTCTACTTGATATCAATGTCATGAATTCCATTACATAATTTGGTTATAGAAAAACAAATAAATAAATTGCCATAGTATATAAATATTAGACTTTGAATTACATTTTTCCAATTGCTACACTGACAAAAATAATTATAAGCATCATTAAAATGTAAATAACCTACATAATTAATGACCATATTAGACGGAAATATATTAAATCAATTCCCCAAGTATTTTCAACCAAAAAACAATCCAATGAATTACCTATTGTTTTTGCTGGCATACTTACAGTATTTACTGAATCTACTGTTTCATTAGGTATTTCAATTTAAAATCCACTCAAAATAGACAAAATTTATGTATGATTATTAAATATTTTCATTAAAACAGCAACATTTCCACTTGCTTTTTAAGAAGAAGCCCAACCAAGAAGTGCAAATATATCATAAAGAACACAATTTTCCATTCTTTCTTAATTTGCTTTTACTGATGAAATAGTAGAATACAAAGTAAAAATACTCAAGAAAACTATCATAATAATATTTCTTGTTCTATCTTAACATGTACCACATTCATATTTTGCTGAATTACTATATTTTGCTCCCCAAAAAATTCCATAAATATCACATTCTTCGCATAATGCTCCTATCATACCTTCATAACATAAATCATTTCCAACATTAAAACCACCAAAACAATTAACAGGTTTGTTTTTGCACTTCTCAGGTAAATCATTTAAATGATTTGGTCTCCAAAATTAATTCTTAATACTAATCTAATTCATTCTAGTGTAATTCATTGATGTATCATCTATCTGTTTACAAATTCCCTTATAAACTAATACATATTATCCTATAGGACATGGAGTACATGAACCTTATTGTGGATTATATGCTTCTCCTCGATCACATTCTACTGATCTAATTCGAGCTTATAAAATATAATCTGTATCAAATCCTATAAGTTGATAAGGGTATTGATTATAATAACGAGGAATGTTGACAAGTGAACTATTAATTTGAACATCTAGAGTGATATTTTAATATGGATCAAATAATATTTATAAATTAGAATAGACAAAACCTTGCTTATCCAAATTAAATATTCTTAATGATTCTCCTTAAATAGTATTGGTTAAGTTTGCAGAAATATTGGATTAAGATTCAAATTGATATTTCATAGCTTCATTATTTTCATTTAAGAAAACTAATAAAACAGATTGATTTTCAAATCCTGACATTTCTTATCCACTCTTTATAACCAAAGGATAATGAAGCCATTCTGTATTATCATTAATATAACTTGAATGTTATAATTTGCCATTGACCATTATTCCTAAATGTGTTGGATATCCAGCAACATCATTGCCATACAACAATGCATAATTTTAAAGCATAGTATTTACAATCTAAGTCTAATCATTAATACCACTTTATTTGACTCTAATTGCTCCACCTATACTGGCATTATTTCTAAAGAATACACTAGATGCAATATTCAATCTTTAATATACTACTTTCTTATTTTTTTCTTGTGCTTCATAATAGACACATCCACCTTGACCAATTACTACAGATTATGTACAATAAGCACTTGTTATATTAGTAGTAAGACCATATATAGATATACCTCCACCATGAATAGCTCTGACATCTTAAATGTTCAATGAATCTACAATTATGTGAGCAATATAAGCAGGTATTGGCACAGCATAACTATAATCAGATGGTAAATATTATGCTTAGAGAATTCTTCTTCTACTTTTCAATCCTGTAGTTTTTAATATCGACTCCAAACTTAGAGAAGAACTAAATGTAATACCAATTTAGGAATCTTCTTTTGTTAAAATATTAGAATGTTAAGCTGATGATACCATATAACAACCATAATATGCTGCTTCTGTATTAGAACATCTGCAAACACTCAATTAAACTAATTCTCTTAATTCACTATTGGATACTCTCATTACTTAAACTAATCCTCCATAACATTCTTTACACTTAACTCTATTGATAAAGATATTTCTCATCAATAATGGAGTATTTTTAGTAATCTGATCAACTAACATCATAGCTGGATTAATAATATATTCTGGAAAATCAACTCGAGATTACAATATCTTACAAATGGCATTCTATTGATTAGTCAATTGTTCCTAATTACAAATAACAGTAACATTCATAGATGATATATTTCTAAATTGGACTGAATCAATGAAAATTGGATTTGCTAATGGTTCAATTACTTCAATATATGGTCTATATGATAATACACTATGTTAAGATTCAATAGTATTGAATCTAACAAGATTAGGATTTTGAAGTGAAATAAATCCATAATAATAAAGTCCTTCACTATAACAGTTTTGTATTTCAACTTATCCATTATCTTATTCAAATGCAGCTAATCGTTTAATTAACATGAATTCCTCAATTATTTAGAAATTAGTCAAATTACTAAAATAATCTATAGCATTAGTGTAATTCCCTGAAACTTTCAATCCAACCAATGTAGTCTTCTATATTGCTTATGTTCTCTCATCAAACTTCACTTTAATTGATGTACCACTCAAACCATAACAATTTGAGATTATACTACTTCTCATTGTAAATTGTTATTATCTATCTGATGCAATCACATAAATTCCACCACCATCTGCTCTTGCAATACATCCTTTCAATTCCATATTCTCTAAAAGCATATTCAATTAAGAATAAGTTGAATCTACATAAATACATCCTCCTCTTGATACTACTCCACCATTCATTGGAGTCAATGCATTAGATATAATAGTATTATTGAAATAAACTTAACCCTCTTTTTAAGTCTTTACATAAATACCACCTCCAACTTTCCCTGTTGAATTAGTAAATTATGAATCTAATAATTAAATGTTATAACCTGCTAAAAATAAATGTCCTCCTTCTACTAAATCATTAATCTATTAAGACAATTGATTTTGATTAATAAATGTACTTGCATCATAATTGCTATTAAGCATTGAAATATTCTTGATTATTTAGATTCCACATTCCAAATATAATACAGCACCATATCCACTTACTTGATTATTTTTCCAATAAGAATTCTATAAATTCAAAGTACCTACTACACTTCTAATCAAAAAGGTTGGATTACTAGGTCTTAATGTTCCTTTTAAATAGGAAGCAGAGAAATGTTTATTATTTTAAAAGTTCATATTTTTCATGATCACTTCTTATTCTTATGTTGAATCTATTAAAATAGCACTTGATGGAACTGCTAAAACTGTTGTTGTTATTGTACAATATTGTACTAATACATTTTCTAATTGTATTTATTCATGAAAATCTTCACTACTTGTATTGTATACTAAATTATTCCAAGAAGACAATCCAATGAATGAATTATCAATTCCATTTAAATTTATTAATTCAACATCAATCATTTTTATTCTTCTATAGAAATTATTCAAAAATACACAATAATTATTTCTAATACTTAAATCAATATTTTATCTACATTTTAAATTAATAAATGTAATATCTTCTACTTATTCTGTATAAAATATTGTTAAATCTGGATTTTAAATACTTTAAAAATTTTAAACTTATAAAGTATTAGATTTATAAATTTAAATAGCTGCACTTGTTGCTGCTTCCCATATAGTTTCATTGAAACCATCTGATTTTATTTGTTAAACTATAATATTACTCATAGAAATGTTTATTGGTAATTCATAATCATTTTTAATACCACTCAATAACATTATACATGCAGGATATAAACAAGTGATTTAATTGAATTCTAAATCATTAAAACTCAAAGACATTCCAGAATATTCCACATCATTTGGTTTTATTGTGAATATATCAAATTAAGTCTAAACCATCTTACCAAAATATGTAAATGTTGTATTATACAAGTAAACTTTACTCATATCTATAGTTGTTATGTGAAATAAAGTAGTATAATTGACTCTACTATTAATCATAGAAAATCCATTTATTTTAACTTTCTACATAGTTTAAAAATCTATAATTCCTCTTGAATTATTATATTCAATATTATCCATTTATAAATTATCAATTATAATCATACCTGTAGACTTTTCACTTAATTTTGTACTTAAAAATGCTCCATCATTAATAAAATAACAATCTTTAAATTATATATTTTTTACATATATTTTACTATTCCATTCTGGAGCTGTCACTAAAGTCATATCTAATAATTCAAAAATAGCTTAATCTTCTACAGCAAAATCATAAAATTTCACATCTTCAAGTCTAATATTCAAATATTAAAATGTTAAATTGTTCTCATAAACTAATCCAAAAGGTTTAGCCTAATATGATAAATCAGGCCCCATTAAATAATTTTAAGATTGAAAAATGACATTCTTTAATGAAATACTATATGTATTCAATAATATAGTAAAAAATGGCTTATATTTCTTAAGAGATTATGCAGTATCACTATATGGAGTTGTATAAGCAAGTGAATTATAATGAGATTCAGCTTAACCATTATTAATTTTAACATTCTCTAATTAAAATTTTGATCCTTCATTTTTTAAAAACTCAAATCCAAAAGGTTTATCATATCTTTCTACATTGTTGTAGAGACCCAAAGTATTTAAATCAGTTGCAGGTAATATTTCAATATCTTTAATGGTTACTGAAGTGAAATATTCAAAATAAATAGTATTCATGATATACCATTAAATTCTTTAACCAGGAGATGCACCTGAAACACTAATGACAAGTTCTAGATCTTTCAAAGCAAAAATATTTTTTCTAAGATTAGTTGAAATAAAAGTATCTCTCTAAAAGTAACAAATATTATTGTTTTGATCAGGATTATATTTAAATTATAATTCAATTATGATTTTACTAAGAGATTTAGTATTGTATTCTTTTAATTTTGCAGCATCAATAAGAGGTGTAGAATTAACATTTTCAAGTATCAAAGTAGCTGTTTTTTAAGTGATATCTGTATATTAGGAATTAAATCTCCATATTGAATTATCATGAGGCATATTTTATATACAATCAGCTTAGATTACAATAGTATCATAATTTAAATAAGCTCCATCTTTTGGTGTTTAGCATCTGCCAATATTAGTATCAAGATAAGAAACAGTTGTATCACATTTATATGCTAAGTAAGAAAACTAAATAAGGCCTTCTTCTGTAGGAGCAAAATATTTATTTGCAACCATTAATTCACTTTAATCTCTCTCTCTGCATCCAATAGTATAAGCAGGACATATTATACAATTAGCACCATCAAGAGAGGCTGATCTTGAAGTTTTAAATAACTCTGGTTCTTCTAGAGTTCCAGCAATACATAAATCACAATAACCTTTAGTTCCTTTAGCTTAGAAATCTTCACAATAAATTTCCCCTTTTTCACATATTCTCAAATCTTCATTAAATTTAGGTCCTATTTTATTGTCACCAGCTGTACAAGCATAACAATATGGTCCATATGTTTAATTATCTCCATCAAATTCATATAAATAATAATCTGTTCGATGTATACTTTTGAGAGACAATTTATAACAATTTTTACAATTATTATTTTCTGAACATGGTTAACATGTACCATCTTTAGCATCAACATAATATCCATCCAAACATTTCAAGCATCTAAATTTGGAACCTTATTTAACACAAGATTGACATAAGAAATCTTATATCTCTTATTAACAATCAAAGGTACATTTCCAAGTTCCATCTGCTTCATCCTTCATAAGAGTATATCCAACATTACATTGTCTACAATGTTTTATTGTAAGATTGTTAGTATCAATTTCATAAGATAAACATCCTGTAGGTGCAACATTTAATAAAGATTATATTTCACAAATTTTATCTTTATTTAAAAAATATCCATCTACACAAATTAAACATTTTTGAGTAGATAATTCTTCTTTATCAAGAGGAATAAAATCTGCCTATAAAGTTGAAAATGAAGCATCTCCTCCCTGAGTAGGATTTCCTTATTTATGACATAATTTGCAATTTAATAAATTAGAACAATCCATACAACCAGTTCCTGTTGCCAAAAATGTTTATGTGTAATCATCACATTCTCTACAACGAAAGATATATGAAGCTTCAACTGATTCAATTTCTGTCACTGTTGGATTTGTACCATCTGGTTCTATTACTATATTTTTAAATCTTGTTGGACTAAATAATTAAAATAATATTTTTACTATTAATCTTCTGCTAAAGTATATGAAACATACTCACATTTTCTACAATTTGTTCCACATCTTATACATGATAATCTATTAAGTGAAGGAATGAAAGAGCTTTAGGATGTACTTGTACATACACTACATCTCTGATGGATTTGATATCTCTCCCATAATGTATCAAAAAATATCTAAGTAGGTGGATTATTTTCAGGATCATCTATATACAATTAATCTAAAAGAGTCTAATCACTTATAGTTAATTCAAAATTATTATAGGTATCCCAAGGGTCTTAATTTAAATTTACTTGATTTTTTCCATAATAACATTCACTACATCCAGTAAAACAAGCCATGCATAACGTTTACATTATATTTTTATTACTTTTTGTTCTTATACTTAATAAACTAAAACCAGCATTGCATATTAAACACTTCTTTTTTGTAGTTACTGTTATTTTCCCTGAACTATCCATTGATCTGACAACATTTATTTGACAAGATTAACAATTATCAGGACATGAATCACATCCTTCAATAGCATCATTAAATGCATAACCTAAAAATATTATTAAAAATTACCTTATGCACATGAAATATAAGGATTGTTTAAATCATATTAAAATTATTAAGATACTGCAAAACATGTTTAGCTCTTTGATTTACAAAAATTAGAACATCCATCACACATTATTGAATTGAACTAAATAAAATTTACATAATACATCATCCGCGCCAGATTACACTATGTAAAACAACTGTTTTGCTGGTCTATCAACCTTATGGAAAATTGATTTAGCTTAAGAGGATTTAGTTTTGTAATCATAAGTACAAAGTCTCTTCTAATCCCAAGTTTGACTATTATCTATACAATCTCCACAATATAGGTTATTCTCATCTAAATAACCAAAGTAAGGACTAGGTGATATTTATTATATTTACCATTTTACACAAACCCTTGTTCCTGCTTTCAAACCTAAATTTTCATTATCTCGAGGCAAAGTAAACAGAAAATGTAAAGCTGAGCATTAATAACAATTTCCCTTTTCCACATGTAAGCAATTTTTAAATTTATCTGGATTTTAAGGTAGTTTAATTGGGGGGGTTATTGCAAACACTATATTGAAAAGGCCCAAAATGATACTCACAGAAAAAAAACTCATTTTATTTAATAAATTATTGTCTTTTGTTAAAAAATTTAAGTTAACATTAAGGGAAACTCATCAGATCTTAATATTAATAAACAAATTCTTAATCTTAAACGGTTTCCTAAGTATATGATTGACTAACTATTTACTTCAAGTTACAAATTCTTAATATTCAAAATATCGTTTTTGAGTTCCTAACTAAAGTTTAACACATTTAACTTCAAGACTTTAAACTATATTATAAATGAATAAATGGAACTAATCGATTATATCTCTCTACATTCCCCTCATTAATAATTCAAATAAATAAATAAATAGTATACTAGACTATATCTAAAAATGTTTGAATTAAAATTTAACATAATTTTATATCAATTCATTTGAATAACAAATTATAAATAAAACTTTGTTTGATTCAATATACAAATTAAAACAGAATTATTAACTATTTTTTTATCAATAGATAACTTATAAATTAAGCATTTACATTAATTTTTGATAATATATCTTTATACATTAGTATTTATGTATAATATATTTGTAAAATTTTGATCAGTCATTAAATTTTATATTAATGATTCTAATTAAAAAATATATAGTATTCTTTTAAACATTATTTAATTAGTATAAAAAGAATGTTAAAGAAAGAAAGAAAGAAAGAAAGATCTATTCTTATCTATTAATTATTATTCAGTCCTATAAATTTTTATAAGTCAATTATGTAATTATGATGATTGTCTAATAATCTCATAATTTACTTATGCCCTATATTATAAACACAAGATGATTAAATACCTAAATTTTGTATTTGAGATTGAATACATCTAACATAATGGTAAATTTAAATAATTTTGAAAATAGGTTTAGAAGAACTAAAAGAATTTAACCTCTTTAATATGATTGTAAATTGAAATGAAAAACATGATTACATTTTGGAAGTAATAAAATAAAGGTTATTATGTTATTAAATGTTTTTATAGATTTCAAGCATTAATATTATATAATAAAATCAAGGATGCTGAAATTAACCTACATGAACTGCTAAATTTTAAAACTGTAGTTATAGTTATTCTTCAGCAATTTAATCCAAATTATCAAATTCTCGAAATTGCATATATTGAATTTGTTTTTTCTACATTGAGACACTTCTTAATTTAATTCTATTTTTATGATTAATTAATTTGCTTGCTTCTGAAGTTCCTATTTATAGAAAGCAATCTCTGCTCGATTTTATATCTTCTTCATCAGTTTCATCTGATTTATCATTCTTTTATATTTAAACACATATTTATTGTTTTCTAGGTTAAGTTTAATAAATATGAGGGTAATTAGAAGGAGACTAATTTTCAGATCTTGTTTGTTGTAATGGAAGCCTTTTACGATCTAGTCTATTTTTACTTGAATAAAAAAAGGAAAATATCATATAATAAAATTAATCAAATATTGTTGTTTTTGGGAGAAATGAAATACCTTATAAGTTATATTAATATTTAAAAAGTCTTTCAAGTATTCAAAAACTTATTATATATAAAAATTCTGTGGATAATACTTTTTTGTATTATATATAATATTGATATATCATAATAGAAGGTTTAATTTATAAATAGTAAACAAGGAATTATGTTTAGACTAAAAATTATATTAAATATAATTTAAAGAATTCTAATCTATATTAGTTATTAGTAAATAATAATGTTTGATCAAATTAAATATTATTCTATGAAATCAAGTGCTTTAATGTTTTAAATTTCTTTAAAAAATAAATCCAATTTAGTTTGATAAATTTAAATTTAATGAATCATAAATTTATTACAAATAGAAGATGTAATCAATTCTCATAATGTGCCATCTTCTTGTAGAAATCCTGATCTTTATTTGCTGGATGGAAACATAAACAACAGGTAAGAGTAATTAAAATAAGCATTACTGCAGTTACTCCAGCTGCTATGTCTCCCATCAACATTCCCATCTCTGTTAATTTCTAAATTACAACGTATTGACAATATAATCTAATTTTATTTAAAATTTATACTAAGGATCTTCAGGTACTACATTGATATCATAAAATATTTGCATTTAATATGGCACACACCATCCTGTACACCCTGTATTTTTTTAGATTTCTCCTAGGTAATTTGAAAAATATTTAACAGTTGTATTCTATGTTTTTTAAAAGAGTTCACAATCTTATACTTTTGTAGGCTATTCTTATATTTCTATGCAATACTCTTTCTGGATGTTAATCATCTCCCCATCGACTTTTATTTTTAGCCAATGGACCATTCAATGATGTATAATAACATGGACATTCTATTGAACATAAAAGATCTTTGCTTTCCCAATCTAAGGTATTTAATTCAGATCTATTATCAAGACAAGTATTTTCATTTTATTATTTATCTTTATCAGTAAGTTTTCTAGTCTCATCTGCTAACACATAACCTATCACCATAAGTATAATAAATGCAATTATAATTATGATATTTCCAACATTGAACGCTAATATTAAACATGGTTTTTTGTGCTAACCGCCAACAATACCACATACTCCATTAATTATTATATAAGATGAAAACAACCAAAATGCTGTTAACATACCTTATCCAAAAAGCATCCACTAAATAAATATTTAATGATCTATATACAGATTCTCCTTCATTTGCTTATAGCATTAAACTATAATGTATTTACATAATCATTGTGAATATAAATGCTGCGATTCCACATATCATTACAATCCAAGCTTCTAATGAAACTACACATCTCAAAATTCCTATTGGCATGCACATTAGTTAATTACGTAAATATATCTAAAAAATATTGAAAATAATATGCTAAACCAATTAATATCAATTAAAGTTCATTAAATATCAAAGAATTTTATTATTAATAAGCAACATTAGAAACTATATAGTAAATTATATTAATTTGATTATTCCTATTTCTCTATAAATTTTTATAAAGTATCATAAAAAGTATAAGAATCATAAAATTTATGAAATATCAAAAATAAAATTTTTCTTAAAATAATTATATTCTTTGTTCAACTCTGAGCTTAAACATTACACCTATACTACTATATAATTATTCTTGATAAAAAATTTAATAAATTCATAAATAATAGGAATTGAGTTCTCAAACAGATTATTTTTAGAATAGTAATAATCTAAAAGGATAATATAATTCTAATTTTTTTAATTTAAGAATATATTCCTTATTTATTTAAAATATTAATGTAATCTTTATGAAATACTTTGATAAATATAGTCTAGATATCTATTCTACTATATTCTATGAAAAAATTCTATAACAAATTTATTAATATGAAGATAGAATAGACTAAGAACTCTTTTAATTGTCATTTTTCTATATAAATAATTAATTTTAGCTTGCTTGATAAAAGTAGCTCTAATTTATTTTTTTTTGATTATTTCATATAAATTTTTAGATTAATTAAATTAATTACAAAAATGGCCTCTCAAGCTATTCCCAAAGATTTATACACTTACACAAATGATGAAAGGTTAAATATTAATATCTATTAGCAAATAGCTTGTAGTTGATGATTTATGCAATAAAAGGAAATCATGTTTGCAAAGATTAAAGAAAGAGTTTTAATTTATGTAGATCTACTCCACTTGGAAAGTATGTTGAACCTGAATTTTGTAAAGACAATGCATTATCAATGATTGATTGCTTTTTGAAAGTGTAATGAAATTGTTTATATTAAATTATGTAGACAAAGAAATGCTAAATGTAACTAATCCTTTTAGAAGGTGTTTGACATAGCAAAAACAGGGTAGTATGCTTAAGAAAGTTTAGAGGAATATTTGAAATGTTGATTAATTTCATAAAATAGTATCCAAAAAATAATAACTTTGAGAATATTCATTTAATACTCATTCTAAGTCAGCCATTTCTCAAAAAAATCAGTTCTCTACTATCAATTATTCTAAACTGATCACTATTTAGATTAAATAATGGAATTTCTTTACAAATCAATATTAAGTTTATCGATAATTTTATATATTAGTATATATTAACTTAATAATTAACTTAAAATAACCAAGGACTGAATAAATTTCATATATTCTTCATCATCTTCATCCATTCTAATATATAAATTTAAATATATCATCATTAATTTTTTGATAAAATTTAAGTTAAGAGTAGTAATCATTAATAAGTAAAGAATAGATTGAATTTTTAACAAGGTTAATTCTATTGTACCCTAATATAGCATTTAAAAATTCTTAAGAATTGTTTGCCTAATATTTTATTAACTGAGAAAGATGTACTTAATTAATCAATTAAAAAAAAAAAAACTATATTTTTTATAATATAAATAGCCTTATCTCAATTTATAGGAGCTATCTTTATATACAAAAATAATAAAATCACTCTTTGTTGTTGGTTGAAAAGTTTAAAATTTCTTAGCATTCATTAATTAATTCATCCTCTTCTTCAGTATCAATAAATAAAAACTAATATGTGGTGAAATCATTAATTAGTTTTCTAATGATAAGTAATTTATATCCTTCAATTTCTATATTTGGTTCTGATAAACTTGTATCTTCAGGTGATTTTTTGAATTCTCCTTCATTCATAATGGTTTGTGATATTTAAGGACTTCTTTCACAAGACTTTAATTATACTTCAATTGCTTAACCTGTTATTCTTAATACAAATTGATATAAAAGATTAATTAATCCTTTTGAGAAGTGTCGTAAAGAATTAATTGATATCCTAAATATTCTAGCATATTCTCCAGGTAATATATAAATTGATTATATTTAGAATGCTAGGTAACCCAAGTTTATTACTAATCGACTTGGTCGTTTACTTACACAAAACTATTTCACTAATTGTAAAGAGAATATTCTAATCATGACTTATTTATTAGTTTCAAGAATTTCTTCTATCAACTAAGTATAAGTTTATTTTGGGTTCTTCAATTTTAACAATAATGATTATCCTTAACCAAAAAAATACTTTTTCACCTTCTCTTGATAATACTAAATTTGTTATAATAACTTATTCATATCTCTTTAACCATCATCTTTAATCATTCTTAAATATTTCAATAATTTTCTTGATTTGACATTGAACTTATTCTAATAAATATTAAACTAGAATTTTACAAGTAATTACTATATACATTCTGTCTCATTTATTCCACTTGTATTCTTAATCAAAATATATGATAATGCAGTAGTAATATATTTAGTTTTGACATTATGATCTATTTGTTTTATCTCATGAAGAATTTAAGATCTTAATTCTTGTAATTGATCCTTAAATTATAACTTTTTTAGTCTTACATTTGTTATCCAATCAAAAATATAACTAAGAGTGCTTAATTACGATTCTACTTAAAAATTTATTTATTAATCATTAGAGTGAAATCTCGATTCTTTCTATCCAACAAAGTATTCATTTTCAGCGTATTCATTGTTTCTATCTACAAAAACACGCTCTTTTTAATTCATACCAATAGTAATTTATATTAAAATTTTATCATTATTCCTAAATATGGGTTTATTAATATAATCTAATTAAATATGAAACATAAGAAATTTTGTGCTTATGAAAATAATATCAATTTTAATTTTCAATTCATTATATTATAACATTTGGATATCTAACATATTCAAAAACTAATTCCTTATATTTTTCGTTCCAAATTGAAATAATCGAATCTTAAGAATATTTTGTCATATCATCCATCATCTTTTTGTCAAAAAATATATCCTTATAAAATTCTAAAATAATTTCCTAGACTCCTTATTGCTAATAATAAATCATATTCTTTTATATATATTGAATTTAATCATGCAATTCTAAACATAATTCTCTTATATCTGTTTTTATTTCCTCTAATGCAGATTAATACTATTGTTATTATAACTTTATTATCTTTTCACAAATTCCATTATTAGCTTTCTTTTTATTAAATCTAGAATTCCTTTATTTTTTCTTCTATAAAATATTCCTTCTTTTTATTTTCTTCTTTAAAATTGCTGATGGACTGATAATACTAAAATAAAATGAAAACTGCTCACACAATTTAGCTATCTTTATTAATACTTTTATTTTCAACAGGTTCCATGTCAATTTACTTATTCTATTAAATTTATTTTCCAAAATAATGTAAAAAACTAATAAAAGATAACTAATAACACTTGAGATATTAGAAATATTATATGTATAATTAATAACTAATATAAATTCATTTTATATATACACATATTAATATATTTAGAAAAACTCATTCATTCTTTTTTAATGATATCTTATTAACATATAGGTAGTATATTAGTAGGTTTTTTATATTGTGGTTCGAATTAAGTTCTCCAGAGTAATAGAATATATTTTGGAGTGTATTCTTAGGGATGTAGAATTTTAAAACTATATAATTCTTTTAAAAAGTTTTTTTCAATTTCTTTGACCTTTTCTATTTCTTCAGGCACCATTTTACTGTAATTGGGTAAAAAGAATGCTAATCCTGGTTATAATGTTAATGCATCTAATTTGATTTCATCCAATATTTAATATTTATTCTTAATAGATTTCATATTTAATTATGATTAGGATTGATTATTTTATTACATTAATTATTACAATTTTTAATTCTACTATTATTATTAATCATCCTTATTTTATTGTAAATAACACTCCTGTTTCTCTTCTTATAATTCAACTTTTTCTACTTATTCTATTTTCATTTTCTTCTATGTAGATATTTATTAAGATTCTAGAAATAATTATACACCTTAATAAAATTGACGTAATTCTAAAGACGATTAGTCTAAATAGTGTTTGACTTTTTCTAGAAATTAACATAATTTGTGATAATGACTTTTCTCAAACTTCGCAATAGACCCTTTTCGAGAATTACATAAATCAACCTATTTAGCTAAAGATTTCGATTCACTTTCATCTCGTTCTTTTAGGTTAGGATGATTAATATTTTAAACATTAGGAATATCGTATTAATCATTTTTTTCTACACATTTTTGTTCTGATTCTTTATATAAGAAAGCAAAATCAAAGTGATTATTCACTCTGAACTTAAATTCTTCTATTATTTAAGAATCATAATTTCTTTTTACTTGATCTAACTTAAATAATATTTCCATTTAAATTTCTTATATAATACCTGATTGGCTTAACTTGCTCATACTTTTCCATAGTTCAGCATTTGGATAGCTTTAAAGAGTGGTATGTCTGGTTTAGGCACCTGGCTTTATAGATGCACAAAATAAAAAAGGATGGAACCCAATATTTCTTGAATTAAATCCCTATCGAGCCCATATCATTATTTTCTTAATTAATAGTTTTTTTTATTTATCCTTTGACTTCAATATCGGTTCTGTTTTCACAGACTACATTTAAAACTTAAAATAATTTTTAGAAAATAATTAAGAATAGTAATATATGAAAGGGCAGAATAATTCCATATAATATATTATAGTATCCGAATTTATTATATTATATTAAATCTGAAGAAATACAATTTTAATAAATATAAATAATTTTAGCTTATTTAAAAAGAAAAAATTACTAATAGAAATAATCATCAAATTAAAGGTTAAAAAAACCTTTTTTTCACAAATAACTTTGATATTCACTACAATTAGAAGGAGAGCATTATAAATATAAAACCAAAATTATAAAAGAGTATTTCTTCTATTTAGATTGATTTTAGTAATAGAAAATATAAATAATAAATAATAATCTTATTGATCAATCATTATAATAATTTTAATAATACAATCAAAGATTATAAAATCATTATTTACTTAGATAATCATTTATGAATAATTTTATTTATTAACAACTTTTCTTTTAAAAAAAATAAAATATATATGTAAAATTAATATTTTGTGAAAGGCTTAGGATTTGGTTAAAGATAAGAACCTTAAGAAACAAGATCTTATGGAAGAATAAAAAAGAATCCTTATTCTGCTTATAATAATAGAAGTTATAATTTAGTAAATGAATATTTTTAAATTTAGAATTATCGTGATCTCAGGATTTGTAATGATCGTTTTAAGAGATTAATATAAATAGTCAATAATGCAATAAAAAATTAAGCAGCAACAATGTTTAAATATTTAAGGTATTTTTAATTTGTTAAGATAGTATTTATGTTCAAAATAAATAATAAGAAGAAATAAAAGCATAATAGAGAGTAATACAAGAAGGATTATTAAGATTTTAGCATGCAATATCCTTATATAATTAGCGATTGAAATGTTTAGGCTTTTTTCGTTTAGCAAAAGTTGATGTAATGTCTCATTTGAAAAAAGAGTTAAGAAATTAAATAGCATAAACTTAATAACCTATAACTCATTAAATATTCAGAAAATGGATACAATTAACCTTTGAATCAAAATTCAATAAGCTATTGAAATAACAAAAATTGAATATGATAAGTTTTTACAAATTTACTTTAAGTAAAATCCTAATAAAATAAGAGTCTTTAAAAGCATGGAGTTTTAATAAATTAAAAACTGCACATAGAAAATAAATTATAAATAAATTAATAATTAACTTAGGTTTATAACAATTACGATTGAGTTTATTTGATTCTGAATAAGGAACTTATTAATATATAAAATAGCCTTAAAACTTAGAAAAAATAATTGCCTTTTAAAAGATAAAGCATTTTAAATATTTTAATTCAAATCAGCATTATTTTTTATTAATTTTCACTAATACCATCAGTAACAACATTAAATTACATAAGATAGTAAAATAAATGCATTGAGAACTTTGTTCATATAATCGATTAAGACACTGGATCAAGAAGCTGATCATACAGTACCTAAAGAGTAATTACAATAATTTGACATTGAATTAGCTAGATAATCTGTGCACTCTAAATTGGAACATTAAAAATAGCTATAAAGATAGCAGAAACAAATAGAATAAAAATCTCATAGAGGAATTTGTGAAATAGTGAAATATTTAGTCAATAAATAACTATATCCTGTATTTTATTAAATAAAAGGATTGAAATAAACTTAAGATGTAGAAGTTTAGGATGGAACTGTTAAGAATTTAGTAAAATATGATTTTATTCAAGAGTGTTATAGCAGCCAGATTAAGTTAAAAAATTAAAGCAAAAAATGCAAAATCATAGAAACTTGAGTTAACTTATCGTATAGAATAGATCTTTCGTAGAAATTATTTTAATGAACAAGAAATTTTGAGAAAGAAATTCAGATAATGGTAAATAAATATTACTTTTCCTACTTCAATGTATCATGATTTTGAAATCAGATTGAGAGTTTTAAGAAATGAAAAGGTTAATTAATAATAATAATAAATAGGAAGCTATTATGAATGATATTGAATAATTAGAAATTCTTAATAATGAATTACTTATGACAATGAATTAAGTCAAGAAAACATTTTTATCTGAAGAATCTAATTTTAATACTTCTCATTAAAATGATTAAAAACAAATAGAAATACAAAGATTCGATATCTAAGAAAACTTAACATCATAAAAAGAATTTAAGATAGCTTTTGAATATGTAGATTATTTAAAAGAAGATGTAAATTAAAATAGTATTATATAGAATATTAATTTAAAGAAACAAGTTTAAAAGAATGAATAATTAATGATTGAAGAAATCTAATAATTAGAGTAATAATTACAAGTATTAATTCATTTTATTATTTTTAAGGAGCTCGAAAAAGAATTAGATAATTGAATTTTGCTGAAAATTATTTTTTTTATTTTTTTATTATTTATAACTCATTTAGAAAATCATAAAAAATGTCTTAAATTTTATATTATTATTAAGTTTAAATAACTTACATTATTATTATGTTAATATACTGGAATATAAATCAATAATTGAATACTAAAGATATTTAATTTTTTTAATTAGTCTATATAAGTTAGTATTATCTCTATACAGAAAATAAATTAAAAATAGTGTATAATCTAATAAATAGAAAATTCATTTATTTAATAATGGAAAATGATATAATCTTTTATTATAGAAAATAATCTAATAAACTTAAAAATTAGAGATTAATTAGTTAAATTAAAATTTATTTTTATTAAATAAATAAAGAGAACTTCTTTTTTGTTTAACTTTTTTATGTAAATACAACATATAAATATATATGGATCATTATTTTTTAACATATGATTAAAGCAAGAAATCTTCTATCTCTACATCAGTAGTTTCAAATCCAGAGACACTAAAGTCACGTGTAGGTTGTATTTTAAATTATTTTTTTGGAGTACATTTTAAGACTTAAATGGGCGAATCTTTAAGACAACTTTGCAACTTAAAAAAAATAATAATCATTTATTACAGGTTTTAAAATAATCTTAGGTGATTTTAAATTGCTTCTAGGAGAAACAGTAATTGAGTTTTTGTTGATATTTGTTTTGTTGAAAGTATATGCTCTAGATCTAATCACCTTAATTTAAGGTAAACCTTCCTAAATTTAGAAATCTAATTCATAATTAGCATATCATACCTATTGATAATCTTCTTTTAGTTCTTGGTGTTAATTTTATAAAGAAAGACATTATAATTAAATATGCACTGTATAATAATATCAATAATACACCTTTTTGGTCATTACATTATAGAAATCTTCAAATGTCATCTTTCCATCTTGATTAGAGTCTGCTTTTTTAAAGATCTTTTTTTATTTCTAAAAATTACTTCTGCTAAGACTTCTTCGTCAATTTCTTCTTTCAAATCTTTGTAAACTACTTATCTTAAATCTTGAAGTGTTATGAAACCTTTATTGTTTTTATCATATTTCCTATATACTCTTCTGATTGTATCCTTTCTTTCTGATTTTGATTTGTCTTGATTCAAAATGGAAAGAAAATATTCAAATGTAATTCCTCCTAATTCATCTTCATCTAATTCTGAAAAAATTTCTAAAAGGTAATGATTGAAACCTTAATACCATATAGAGTCTCTTTAGTTGGATGATATCCAAAACTAATAAGTAATTACTCTAGATCATTTGGTGATAATATGCCAGCTTATTCAGAATCATAATAATCAAAAACTTGTTTGATATCTATAATATCAGATTCCTGTTATAGATTGCTATAATTACTTTCAGATCTTTAGTCACAAATTTCTTTGGATTGAATTCATTAGGATTGCCACCTTTAGCTGATGTTCTTTCATTTGCAATTTATTTTCTAATTTATCCACCTTAATTTAGAGCATTATTATGAGATTAATTAATCTTCATTCTAGCTCTTGTTGATTCTCTATTTTATGGTATCCTATTGGTTGATATGCTTGATTCATCTAATTAAGTATTTGGACTGTCTCTCATAATAGATTAATTTGTTCTAAAAGGACTCTAAAAAACTGGAAATTTTAAGTTACTTATGATTTCCTTTAATTTCTCATTTTATATTATTTTTAATGTAATTTATTATTTCATCATATCACATCTACTATTATTGACTATTTAAAGTGAGAACTTTAAATAATACATGATTTTAATATGATTTTAATAGCATATAATCAATTCTAATATAGAAATGTTTACATGACGGCATCTTAAAATAAAAAAAAGGACTATAAATTTTATTTTATGGCAAATTATTAATTGAATTTTATAGAAAATGAGTTATGTATTAAAAATAATTAATGAATCGAATGTTGATTGAATATTTATTGATAAAGAGATTTCTTATTTTTTGAAGAATAATAAGAAGATGATTATAATTTAATTTCTCATAAATTATTTTATTTTAAATCTTTTATTTATTTATTTATGAATCAGCCTTAATTTTAGGCACTCCCTTCATATGAGAATTTGGATATGATAAGGAAGACCTTTCCACCATTGGAACATATAAATTTTGATCATGAATTTAAGAATTTGGAAAAAAGCAAATATTTCATCATTCGTACTTAAGGAGAAGATAATGTACATAGAGCTATGAAATATGGCATATGGACTAGGTAGTATTTATTATTAAGTGTCAGCTCTTCTCGAAAGAATGAACGTTTGAATGAAGCATTTTCTTAGGGAGATGTTTATCTCTTTTTTACTGAAATAAACAGTCTTTGTTTTAGTGGGATGGCCAAATTGACATCAGGATTCGATCCTAAATAGCATTTTAAATATTGGTTAATTGAAAACAAATGGTTTGGTTTATTCTAAATTAAATGGGTATAAACCTTAGCTTAATGTAGCTATATGTAAAGGATCTTCCTTTTAAGTTATTTGAAAATATTAAACAGATCCAAAAATTTGAAGGAAGTGACGAAACAATTAAATCAGTTTATGATTTGATTGATTGCACTGAGTTGACTTTGGAAAACGGAATCAAAATGGTAGAGATATTCAAAAAAGAGGAATCAAAGAAGAGTTTATTTGAAGATTTTTCCTAATTGGATAAGTTAGAAGTAAGTTTTATAAATATTTAGAATCAAAGTAGATAATAAAGAGATACAAATCCAAACTTTGAAAAGAAGTTTCAAGAATTAAGATCAGTTTTTGAAACAATTCCTTATTCTTTTTCAGCTGCATCTTATGAGAGAAGATAACAACGTAAACCTTAATATGGATATTATAATTATGGTATTAAATATCTAAGTTTTCGAAGGGTATTATTAATAACCTTAATATTGGCAATCTAATAGTGGATTCTATTAATAAGAATAATACTAGCAGTATCCATATTAATAATATTAAAACAAATATTAAGATTCGACAGATTAAAAATATAATAATAAGAAAGAAATCTAATAACCTGTAAATTTAGAGGATAAATTTGAAATGTAATAAAATAGAAAATATAAATATGATAAAAAGAAAAGATTCAATAATCGTAATAACTAATAGATTGAGTATGTTTAAAAGTATCAATAAGAAACAATAGTATAGTAAAACATATGAACATTAAAATTAAAAAAGTCAATAATATTCAAATTTATTACACTCTCTAGTGTTATTTTCTTTTATGCTAATCATCATTCTACATCAATAATGGCTTTTATTCAAGTGGTTACAAATTAATATCTATTTTAATTAAAAAAATTACTTTTTTTATTCATATTCGGAGTGATTTAAGTCAAATTACTATTATTATTCACATTCCCATTATAAATATATTAACTATTATAGGTTTAAATAGAGTTATCCTTATTATCAATAGGACTAAGAATAATTTTTTAATGTTGTTTTTTTTCTACAAATTGTTAGTTCACTAAATCACTCTGATAACGTTGTTTTCCTTCTAATTATTCTAGCATTTAATAATTCTATTTTATCTTTTCAGCTACTAATTACCCTCTCTCTAGTTAAGGTTAACTAGATGTATTCTATTTTTATTAAGTTTCTAATTATTTATTATTATTAATACCTTTCTTAGGCATTCTAGGAGTTAAAAGTCTTTATTTAGCATCCTATTCATAATCTGAAAAGTTATTTTTATTATTTTATTATCTAGAATTAATTTCGAGTACTCGTTCTGATTTTTCTACCTCAATCAAATCCATGGCTTAGATTTTATTATAGCATTACCTTATTTATATGGTAGAGATGGAAAATTTACTTTCTTAGCTTTAAAATTAAAGGGAGGAATCTTATAATCTTGAGCATCTTCATCCCATTCACTCGCTGCCTATAAAGTCTCTAATTCATTCTGACTAAACATCATCTTAACTAAACCTGCATAGAGTTTAATTTCCTTCTACTGATTTCTTATAGTATCTAACATATCTTCCTTTTAATATTCTACTTCTTATTTTAAATCCTTTTATTCTATAGTAGCTTCTTCTAACTTTTTTCTTAAATATTTTATGAGTTTTCTTAACTTCTCTACTTCCTCTTATACACTCTAATATTTAGTCTCAATTTCTAGCATTTCTTATTATTGTTGTTCCTATTATTGTATCAAAGCTTCATGTTCTTTTTTTTATTATTCAATAGTTAATTTGAGTTTTTTGTATTTCTTTTTATCATCTTCACTTCCTTTTCCACCTTAAACCATCATTTATTCTTTTTCCTTAAGTAATTATTCCAATCTCTATCTAGCCTATCTCTCTTATTCAGCCTACCATTCTTTTTCTTTCATTTCTTATTCAAATTTTTCCTTTTCCTATTAAAGTTAATTATTTTTTTCTTTAAATTCATGCAACTCCTTTAATTTTTCTTCTGAATGTTCTACCAATTGTAATCCTTACTTTTAACTAATTAATCTATCATTTTCTTCCTTTAATCTAAGAAATTCTGCATTATTATTGTTTTCTGGTTTACTAAATTATTGAAATGCTTCAAAAGATATAGGTTATCCAGCTGCTTATCTTGATAATAATTCTTTTAATTTTTTAATTTCCTCAGCTTGTTCTTTTAATAAGGCATCTTTAGGATCCTCATTAACTTTAGGTTGATTCTTAATCATCTTAGCTCTTGAAGCATATCTTAAACTCGACATGGTTTCATCATAATTAAAATCAGATGGACTAATTGCAGTAATCATAATTGTCTTAGTATTTCCTCCTAAGGAATCTTGAAGCAGCCTAGTTAACTTTGAATCTCTATAAGGAATATGTTAAGTTTTTCCATCAACTAATGCTGAGATTACATTTCCTAATGCAGACAATGATAAATTAATTTTGGTAGCTTCTTTTAATCGATCTCCTGTTGCTTATGTTTTAGATTATCTTTCACTTCCTGCCAAATCAACTAAATTCAATTTTCCTGCTGTTATTCTCTCATTTCCTTTGGAATCTGTAATGGAACATTCAATATATACTGTGAAAATGCAATGACTTCTACTAGATTCTTTATTCATAGCAGTAGCCCCAACAGATCTGTTTTGGGTTCCTAATTACATATACTTATCCATTTCTTAAGTTGATCTGACCACTGCAATATTGAGATCCTTAATGAATACACCCTGTTATCCCTCTTTCAATTCATATTTCTATTTTACATCCTTACTCAATAAGTCATGTATTTCTTCATTATAGATTTCAATATAAGAACATCTTAGGAGAAACTTTTTATTTGAATCTGAGTTATTGTTGATTATGCTTATTATTTAATCAAAAGTTCTTGGAATTATTCCTTTCATGTTTTCCTAAGAATGAATAAATATTTTACATTCGTTGGATCTCCTATCATTGTAAAGGTCTTGCCACAACCTAATTATGTTAAAATTTGAATGTACCTGTTTAACCATATGCAAATATTGTTCCATTGTAACCATCAGCAACAGATTCAACCAAATTAAAAGCAGACTTCTAATAAATTTATAATTATGGAGTTTCAGCTCCAAATACATAATCATAAGTAAAATTCTTCACTTCATTATCTTGACTCTGATTAATCAAAAATATAAACTAATTACATTTCGTAATTCAACACTATTTGTATCTTCATGTACTATTACACATGGTTTACTTCCATTTTCTTTCTCTCTTTAATTAAATGGACGCATTCTCACTATAACTTTGACACATTCTGCAGGCATAATTTTTATAATTTATTATTTCTTTTAGTATATTCTAAATAGTAGAAAAGAAAATTAATAATTCTTAATGTTTATTAAACTAATATAAACCAAATGATTAATTTATAAGTATATGAATGTATAAAAATATAAAAGAAAACTTATGATTTTATATTCTTAAGCTAATTGAATACTAAAATACTAATTAAAAGTATTTTATTCTATTCACAAGGTTAAATCAAATTTATATTTTAATTTGATTATGATAATAAAAAACAGAAATGAAAGTATTTTTTTTATTCAATCATACATTAATTTATAATAAAAAAATATTGATTATTAAGATTAATGATAGGAAATATAATTCAAGCAATTGGTGAATTATTAAATTGCAAAGTAGATTTTCTTTGTACAGCTTAATTGACAAGTGATAAGAAATATTTTGCTGTTGTGGCAAGTGATAGATTATTATTTATAGCAAGCAAATTAGAAAAAGTAGAAATGTCATTAGAGTATGGTAAAATAAAAGGAATTGTTATATCAACTAGAGTACCAACTATGTTCTAAATTCATACAGATATTATTATTGATGTTTATGCACTTGAAAGAAAACAATTAATATAAGCATTAAGATATTCATGGATGACAGATTTTATGCATAAAAATTTCTAATTTAAATAGTTACCAATGTTTAAAGATGATATCAAATCTAATATTTAAGATAAACAACCAGTCCTTCCTAATCTCATGTTTACTAAACAAGGCAAATAAATGTTTAGAAATAAAAATTACACATTTAGTTTACCAGATGAATATGAAGCAACATATTAAGATGGTGTCTATGTACATAAAGAAAGTTAATAATGCAAAATAGTTGTTTAAATAACAGATCCAATGCCAACTTAATTATTAAGTTAACTTGGGGAAAAGGCTAATCTATAATATTATTCTGAAATGTTTTTAGAAATTGTTTTAAAAGGAATCAATTCAAAAGATGATAGTGTAAAATAAGGAACTAATCAAAAAAGTTAGGATAGTGATGAAGAAGGCAAAAATTAAGAAGAAGATGATTAGAGTAAATAAAAAGAAGAGACTCTTGATTATTGGATTATTTCTTCACATAATTACAAAAAAAGATCTAATTTAATGAATGATATCTCTGAATGGTTTGGATGGGAATTACATGCAAGAACATAAGTTTAAGATATTTTTATTATTATCTTAAGAAGAATACATATACCTCCTCTTTTTGAAACATATCAAGAGATCTTATTTGTTTTATATGGATAAGAATAAAATGCAAAAGAGTAGGTCTTAGTTAATGATAGAGATCTTTTAAAATTAACCTTAGAATAGGATTTGGAAGAGCATGCTTTTAAAAATGTTCTTAGAAATGCTATTGATTCCTTATAATGTAAAATGTTCATATTTGAGAAATAATATCAGATATTTATATAATTGTCTGCTGACAGATTATTATATAACAGATAAACCTTAAATTTCATTTATAATAAATTCAAAATATTTCCATAATTTATGAGTTATGCTTTAAAATATCTTAAATTGTTATTCTAACGTTTAGTTTTATATGATAAAGAAAGATTTTTAATATTAGATAAAGAATTAACTTAGAAATATGGATTTATTTTAAATAATCTTAAAGATTATATGACAGATGGCATTTAAATAGAAGAGAATCTCTAAGCTTTATTTGATGCTTTTGAATAAGCTTCTTTTGTAAGGGATAAATCAGGAAATGAAGAAGAGAGAAAATTTGTTTGGTAACAAAAATTATCTAATTATTTGGGTATTTGTTTTGATGGATTATTAATGGGGTCAGCATTTAGTTTTAAAGATTTAGTTCCTGTTTTGTAGGCTAAAGTAAGTATGGAATTAAAAACAATAATCTTAGAATTATTTGATTATTGTTTATATGCTGTACCAAAAAAGGAATGTAGACCAATTAAGAAGGGTAATTTCATTAAGAAATTAGAAGAATTAGCATCAAATAAATATTAATATAATGTGAATATAGCCAAATCTTTAATTGAAGCTAACTTTTTCTCTTAAGAAGTACTTCTTTAAGAAAGATCAGGATTATACAGTAGCTTAATATGTTATTTTCTACAATCTGATAATGTAGATTTGATAGTTGCTATCTGTCGTCATATTATAAATTTTTAGGCTGAAATTAAACATACTACTGGATTGACAGAAGCTATGATAACAGCATTTAAACCAATTTCAGTTGAATTAATTAGATTATATAGAAGTCATAATAGGACTATAGCCACTTTAGCATGTGCATCATTATTTAATTTATGTACAAATTCAAGAGAATTTAAATATATAATATTAAATGATGATGGAGCTGCATTACTTGTTAGTAAGTTAGTGACAAAAGACAATTTTTTATTACATTTTGCTTTGAAGTAAATAAATTAAGTTATTTAGATTAATATACTGTGTAATGAGTATTACATAAAATATTGAGAAATTATTGGCAGCAAATTTAACTGATTATTTGTATAAAATATTAGAAGGACCATAAATTAAAGGATGTTAATATGATGCTAGATGTCTCATTACAACATGTTAAATCTTAAGTGTATGTTTAGTGAGTGAAGTAGAATTAAGAAATATAGATCACTTATTAATTTTATTGTATAATATGGTCACTACTTAAGCTGACTAATATTTTTTAGATTAGGAAGAGTCTGTTAATTTAAAAAGTGAAGCTCTCTATGTTATGAGTAAAATGTGTCATAAAAGTGCTGAAGTTAAAAAAAAGATAAATTAGGAATGTGTACCTTATTTGTTGAAATTAATGGAAAAATTAACTTATCATTAAGTATAAGAGAAAATTATTATGTTGTTATGTATTCTTATAAAAGAAAATAAAGAATGGGCTTTAGAATGGTTATAAATGTAAATAAAATTATAAGATATATTAACTACATATCATAACAATGATATACAATCATCAAATTATTTATTATCTTAGATTAAATTTATAGATGATGAAGCAAAGAAAGTTAAAAATGAAGAAATGAAAAGATCTAAGCTTGCTCCTACAGCTAGTGTTATTGCAGAATAAATGATGGAATAGTTATAATAATAAGAATCTACTATTTAGGATAATAAAAAATCAATGGTAAGTGAAGCAAGATCTTCTATGATTGAGGATTCAAGAATAACTGCATCTAATATAAATAATAAATCTACCATAAATCCTAGTTAATTTAAGAAATCTTCAGCTTCTTGATTTTTTTATTATATTAAATTAATTGTAATATACATTTATATATATATATATAATATCAATGTTGCGTTGAAGTTTAAAGTTCATGTATTTATTTAGCTTTTTCTAAATAAGAGATTAATTTTCCATTTTAAATTATATCTCTTACTAATCTAACATCTTCAAGTGTAACATTTTCTTTAACATGCATCAATTATTTTATTTACTATTAATATTATAATCTTTCTTCTTCAAAATTATATTATTCCTCTATTTCTATTTTCGAATCCATTCTAAGTTTTAATTATTCAGCTCTCATCTATTCAATTTATTTTTTTAAATCATTCAATTAGTTTTCCATCATTTTTTTCTCATATAAATCATACTAGTTTCCCTCTTAAAAATCTCCCATATATTGATTTGATCTTGACATTAATTCCTTAACTTTCTCTTATTCTTCTATTAATTTCTATTTATAAATTTCCAATTATCTTCTTAAAATATAATCACATCCAAATATTGATAATTCCTTATTTTTTAAAATCAAAATATCATCTTTAATTTCTTATTTTTTTTTTGCAAAATTAGTTTATTCCTCTTTTAATTCCATTTCCTAAGATCTAATTTCATGTTCTTTCTATTTCAAAAACTACTCCTACTCTTAAATCAAATCTTTTATTAAAAAGAGTTAATCTCTTTCTTTAGTAACATTTTCTAGTCTTAATTTAATTTCTTCAATTTCTTCTATAGTCAAGTCTGATCTATTTTGACTATCTATTTTTTCTTATTAATAGAGTTATTTATATTATTCTAAAGCTTTAGCTAATTCTTAGTTTTCTTATTCTAATGATTTAATCTCAGAACTTTGTTACATTATCATCTACTAAAAGTCTTTTCCAAATTCAGCAATTGCATTTTAATATTATTAAGTTTATTCTGATAATTATTTTTATAATCCTTTTAGATTCTTTTTCAAATCATTAATATCTTCCTAATTATTTTAATTAGATCTATTTTCATTTGCAATTTGTCTTGAAAATTCTTATAATTATTCCCAATTTAATTTATCTTCTTAAAATGATAATAACTCATTTTCTTTCATTTATAATTCTTAAGTTAAATTCTAAATTTTTTCATTTAATGTCTTTATGATAATTTTATCATTTTCTATTTACAATTTCATTTGAAGAATATCTTAATTTAATTCATACTTATTTATATTAACTTAAAGTTACTAAATCTGACCATCTTTTTACTTAATCTCATCTTTAAGTGCTTGACAACCCAAATTTAAAACTTTTATTTATTCACTCAATTATTTAATTAGATTATTATCTTTTTCCTTCATCTCAAGTAATTATTTATTCTATTAACAATAATCTATTTATTCTATTGGTATAATATTTGATTCTTTATCTTAATAAATTTATTTAATTTTATTTTCATATTCAATCTTTTATTTCTTATGTTACTCTTCCAAGTTTAATAATTCTTTTATGTAATTATTAAAATTTTTCTGTATAAATTCTTTTTATGTTTTTTCTAATTAAACTTAATTTTTTAATTTTTATATTTCTTATTTAAATTCTTCAATTTAAAAATCCAAAGTATTTCTTTCTAATTTCAATTTTCTATAATTATCTAACATTTATGTTTGTTTTTTAGACTAATATCTAATTTCTAAATAAATTATAAAAATTCCATACTTTCTATTTTTTTTGCAATTGGAATTATTTAACTGTTTTTTTATTCATCTTAATCATTATCTGTATCATTATTATTAATTTTCTGTTGTAGTTTTATAATTTCTTCCTCTTATCTATTTATAATAAGTTTTAAGTTTAGGATTTCTTAATTTAATTTCTCTAACTATTTAAGATTAATATTTTAATATTTAATCACTTCCTGAAACATAGTTTAATCACTATTAATAATTGATTATTTGACAACTGATTAAACTTTATTCTCTTAAGTAATAGATGTTTTATTATTTAGATTATCCTATCTTAATCTATATATTTCATTTCTTTGTATTTCATCTTTACACTTTAATTATGTTAGCTCTGATTATAATTTAATTATTTCATCTCTTAATGATTTATTTTATTGAATTTCTGCTTCTAATTTTTATTTCTATTATTAAGCTAATTCTTTAGATTTCTAATATTCTTATTTTTCCTATATAAAAATAGATAATTCCTCATTTTTTTTTTCTTAGATATTCCTTTTTTCTTATTATTCAATTTCAATTTAATTTTATAAAGATTTAATATTTTTTTCTTATTGCATCAATTTAACTTTTAAATCCACTAAATCATCCACATTAACATTGAATTAATCATTAATGGAAGAAAAGATCAATTCTGGAGACTAACGGGATACTCTTTAATTTAATCTTTTTATTTCTTTTTCTTGATCAGATATCAACTTATCTTTCTTTTCAATAATGATTCTCATTTCTCTATCATTTTATAATTTTTATTCTTCATATATTCTTTAATGATTTATTTCCTCCTAGGCTTATTATTTATACATTTCTATCATTTATTCTAATGTCCTTAATTTTTCTTATAATAGTTGTCTCTCCTCTTCACTATTATTTAAATTAGATTATAATTTATCTATTCTCTTTTGACTATCAATTTCTAATATTAGATCTCTTTATACTTATCTTCTCTCCATAAATCGAGTATTATTGAATTTGTTTCAAATATTATTTTCTTTCTTCTTCAAATTAATCAAGTTATTAATTATAAATTTGTAATGGTGTGTTGTTGAATTCATTTTGAATATAGACCACTTAATTAATTTTCTTGGTTTTCAACTCATGCTTTAAATTTTGGCTCTCTATTTCTGAGTATTCTAATTGATTTCTAATTGTTTGCAATTCCAACTTTAATTCAAGAATTTAATTGTATTATTCTTAGAGTTCATGTTTCAATTATTAAGTCTACATTAATTTGAATAAATAATACATCTCCAATATTATTCTTAACTAACACTTGTTCTTATAAACTTTTTATTTCTTTTTCTTTTATTTGATTTATACATCTTAGATTATCTCTATCCTATTTGATATCAAATAATTGGGAATGTAAGTGTTGTTGAGTATCCTATAAGTCTGCAATTTGAGTTTTGGCCTACTCAAAAAAGTTTTGGTATTGATTTACTGTTCTAGAAATATTAAAATAACTACTTAGCTAATTCATCTATCTTTTATTATTTTTATTGGATATCTCTTTCCAAAAGGTTAATTTATTTCTCCATTGTCACATTTTACATTAATTAATTATAATTTATTTAAATAAATAAATAAAAAGTATATTAATTAAAAATAAAATCATTCAGATTTTTATTCAAAAAAATTCTATGTATTCTTTCTTAATATATGGAGATGGTCTAAGTTATTAAAAGTATTTGACTATTTAATTTTATTTGAGAATACAAGATTAAGGAGTCAAATCAGCTAAAGCTTCTAAATATATCCTATTTAAATTTTAATTAGCAATTTAAACAATAATAATATGTATTTTTCTTTTGTTCATAATTTATTTTAATATTTCTATATTTTATTATGTATAATCTTTAACCATTTCAGCAAATAATATAATGATCCTTAATTAAGATTTGACTTCCTCTTCATCTTCAATCTTATCATGATAATCTGTCTATAAATATTTATCAAGAACATCTCCAGCATTACTCAAACTATGTTAAATTGATCTTTCATTTTGAATTGATTAATTTGAATTATTTAATTAAGTATTTTCATCCTTTATTTTTGATTTATTTTTAATGAAAAATGAACCTGCAGCTAATTATAATAGATATAATAGATTAGATTCTCCTCCAGGAGGTAGTAATAATCGATTACAACTATTTTATAAATAAGATTAATATTATTATAAAGGAAAGATTTAATGAAAAGTTGAATTTATAGCATAAAGTCCTACTTAATCTTATGTAGTAAATAGAGACAGTATATATTTTGTAATAGAATGTGACAATTTAATCTATTCAACTGTCATTTAATTGGTGTAATCAATTAATATAATAGCTTAAATGTGTTAATGAGTGATGTGAAACTATTCCAATAAATTGATGTTTAATCTATATGAATAGAATATTTATTATAGTAATTTAAATGCATAATTATATTGATAAGGATCATACATTGACATTGACAAAATTGATAATAATTTTGAACAACTTTAAACAATCTTATTCATTTTAATATCAATTATAGCTTTTAATAATGTTATTTTTGATTAAACTAAAATTATAGGTACTTCAGTAAAGATGTTAATACTGTTAGTCATTTAATTGATTTATTAAGTGTGAAAATTTGGAAGATGTTTAAGTAAACTTTTGGCTTTAGAAATTTAATTAGATTTTGTATAAAAGTAAACTAATTGACAAGATAGATTGAATTATAAATTGTTTAAGAAGGCAGAAGTAGGTTTTTATTGTTCTGCTTCTGCTTTCATTTATAATAGCAATTGAAGAATTTCATTCAAAAATAATTAATCATTCTCATTACTAAACTAACTCAATATTCTTAATAATTAATATTATCTATTTAATAATTTTAGTTTAACAATATTTTTACAATCTTCTTCAATTACACTATCTTCTTTAATGACAGATTAATTAGATTTATCAATTTATTATAATAAAGCAATAGAAGTGATGTTCAAATTTTATAATTGATTATTTATTCTATTTCTTTCAGTATTAGAACTTGCATAAGAATTTCTTTTGACATTTTATTACATTGTATTACTACGTTGTTTGAATTCCATAGAAATCATTTTTGAAAGTTGTGGTTAATAATTTTGAGATTAGAGTCTTTCAAAGATTCTGTCATCTCCAACAAATTTTGATAATAAACGACTTTTAAATGATTCATAAACTTTAAACCAATTTCTACTTGTACTCATTTTTTAATGTAATTCATTTAATTATAAAAGACTTTATAATTCTTATTCTGCAATTTGAATAGATTCCTCTTATTCATTAAGAGCTTCAAGAAATCTTTTATTTATTGCATGTATTCTAGCTATATTATTTGAACATAATCCTACTGCTGAAAGATTGTTTTTTTTTTTAAAGAATTTTTTTGAATTGCTCATTAACATTAATCCTTCTGCATTTAATTCAAATTAATTGCTTTAATATTTCACACTATTAGTGTAATCAATAACAACATCTATAAATTATCTAATTTCAGTTGAATTACGATATTCATCATAATAATTTACAGTAAAATTTTATTTACTCAAATCAATAACAGATTATTCTAATATCTTAGAAGCCATTAAACGTAAGGGAACTACAAATGAGAGACTAGCTTTAACACCCTATCTCCATGTATATAGAAATATTATTAAAGAAGAAATGAATAGAATAGTAATATATTAATTGATTTTATCTGATTCTTCTAATGATCCAGCTTCCTCATTTCTAAACTTCAAGGTAAATGTTTCAATAAATAAAATTGAGAAATTCTTCTTTTCATTGATGTCTACTATTCCACAATTATGAACTATGGGATTTGATACAAAAAATAAAGTGCTTCTGCATATATATATCTCTTAGTCTATCCCAACATACTCAAAAGTTTTAAATTGAAAACTACAATCATTTAAAGATTCATATAAATTCTAAATCCAATTCTCTGTTTGATTAATATATGTTCTACTTAATACAGATAAATTTCCAATTTCTAGAGCATCATCAGAATTTACTTAATAAAGATACTAAAAATTGATATAATAATATATAATTACTTAATTGAGCAACAATCCTCTATAAATATTTTTAGGATCCCATGATTTCGCCAAAGAAACAAACATTTCTAAACTTTAAATCTCACTTATACTGCATTTGTATTTTCCCATAATTGTTACAAGCAATGTAAATTTCATTCCATTTGGTAAGAATTCAGGCTTTATCCATTTTTATGAATATGCATCCAATACAATGCAATTATGTTTAGATACACAATTTTTAACTTAAAATTACCAAAAAGTTTAATAGTCAGAAATGTTTTAATTTCCATATACAGCTAGAAGTCCATTTTCACATAGAACAGATATGTTATTTTTTATTAAGGATTTAAATTACTTTAAGTAATCTACAAGCTCTACAATATCAGGATCATTAAGAGTTGAATTGATTTGATAGAATTGGAAAGGTTCATTTAATATAATGTGAAAGTTTTATGAAAGTAATTATTGTGCAACAAATAGATCCTTAATGGCAGGGATCATTAATTTTGACATTATTTTATTATAGCTATATTCAATTGATACTGTCTCATTGAATATTGATCTAGTTAAAGATTATCCTTAATCAAGTGAATTTGGTAATTGAATTAGTATAAACACACTATTCATGATAAGACTCAAAAGCAATATAATTGAAATAGGCACAACTATTGCCATAATGATTTTGAGTATCATGAATTAAAATATTATTGATCAAATCAATTCTGTGCATCATCCACCATGCATACAACAAAGAATCAATAATGATATGATTACTTTAAGTTAATGGAAAGCAAAGAACTTCTTAGCCTCTACATCTTCTCGATACTATAAAATCCCTGATGTTCCTGAACTCAAACCTAAAAAATAATAGATCAGAAATGTTAAATACAAATTTGAACTTGATGATGATGTTGGTCATAAGATTTTGTAATAAGTATTACCTAGAAATCCATTATTACCAATGAGAAGATAACATTAACCTAGTATCAAATAATTAATGTTAGATCCATCTTAATTATCTGTCATCTAACCTAATTAAAGTCTACAATAGATCAATTCTTCAATAGAGGAATCTAACATTGGATCTAAAACTAATCGTTTCAATAAACCTTCTCTAAAAAGGAATTCTAGTCAACCCTTATTGGATGAAACCAAATAATTATCTTTTCTTAAAAATAATTCATCCTCAAAAGATATTAAGATCTCAGAACGAAAGAAAAGTAAGATCTATTTTGGATCAACTGTTTAAGCATCTTAAACTTAAACAAAATTTGAAATTGACTTTGATTTTAAAATTAGAGATTCATCAGTAAAAAGAAGATTATCTCAGAAATAATTCAATCTTTATAAGAATAGAAAAATAGCAGTTTCTAGTATTGCAAATCAATATAAACATTAAAAGGAAGAAGAAATAGAAGCAAGAAGAAAATAAGTTAAAGAATAAATTGAACAACTATGAAAAGTGTTCTTAATAAATAATTTAATTGATATCCTAAACAAAATAAAATGAATGAAAGAGAATCTCGTATGTCTCTTGGGGCATTCTCTTCTAATCCTACTTCTGCACCATAGAATGCATATGCTACAGCACTCAAAGCATTATAAGAGAAATTAAAGGGAGTTGAAGGATTAAAGAAATCAATAGAAAATCCTTCTGATAATTTAATAGATTAACTGAAGAAACAAATAAATGATCTTTAAAACGAAAATGAAAGATTATAATATTTATTAATGAAAACAAATCAAGAAAGTTAGATGAATTTTATTTCATCACAATAATATGAAGTTCCATAAATTGAAAGATTATAACATTTTAAAGATTATTAAGATAGATTAAGTGATATGATAAGAAAATATGAAGAATTGAAACATGAAAAATAAGAAATTCAAATTGTTAATGAAAATTTATAAAGATAATTATCAGTTTATTAATCAAATGAAAAAGGGTAAATACATAAAAATAAACATAAAAAAATTGAAAATAATACTAATATTTAAGATCTTAAAACAAAATTAGATATAAAAGATTAATAATTAAAAATATAAGAAAAGAAATTAGAATTCTTAGAAATAGAAAAAGAGTAGATTCTTTAAGAATATACTAATTATAAAACCAAATATCCTTCAATAAAATAACATGATTTTGAAAAATAAATTCATTAACTGAAAATGTTATTGGAAGAAAAAGATAAACAATACACTAGAAATATTGATGATATAGAAAGAAATAAAAATGTAAGAGAAGAACAAATGAGTAGAAGAATCTAAGATTTAATTGGAAAATGTAATGAATATCAATAAATTATTGAATAATTAACATAAGATTATAAAGATTTAAGTCTTAAATATTAATAAGTGAAAATTAAATTAGATTATTAAGAAAGATAACATAGGTATATCAATAGAAAGTACAGTTAAGGTGAACTTAAATAAGATTATAAGGAACACAAAAATATAAATAGAATTGATATATCTCCTCCATTAACTAGTTCAAGATTAGAATAAAGTTAATTGAAATAAGCTATAAGAGAATGTTTAGAAGATATGATGAGTACTCAAAATTATAATTGTTGTAGTCCTGATAGAAGATCTGAAAATAGGAAATAATAATAAATACTTTCTCCAATGTCAACTTCCAGATAATATGAAATTGAAACTTAACTCAAAGAACTTAATGAAAAATATGAGAATTTAATGAATTAAGCTTAAAAAGAAAATGATTTAAATAATAAAGCTGTTATTAGGAAGTAATTAATTGAAATTGCAGGATAAATTAAAGAAACTACTAAATTTGAAAAAACATGAATAATCAATTAACAAATTCTAGTCATATTCGATTGATTTATATAAATTCACTTTCTCTTTTAAATTATAAATATAAATTAATACTTAATTATCAATTTATGTTAGAAATCTATAAATTTAATAATTTCTTTTTTATTCTTATAGACATAATGATTTTAATAAATAAATATGATGTTTATACTTTTGCTGATTCCATATGTCATTAATGCTAAATCTAATTTTATAAACATTGGAAAAACATATGATGGGTAAAAATCTATTTAAATTACATAGACAATTCAATTTTAAAACTAATCATTCTCTTGGTCATAGTTATTACTTTGAAATTTCTGAGCTCTTAAATAACGCAGATATCATTATTATTGTTAGTCAATAAACTCCATAAGGTGATCCTAATATCTTTTTGTCTCTTTTGAATCCTGAACCATATTCAATAGAATAGAGTGAATTAGGATATTGTTAATCATAAGGAAGTGGTATATATTTAGATTAAAATTCAAGATTTATGTGTAATCGATAAAAAGCATATTTAAATTGATAAACCTTATTATATTGGTATAACTTGTTCTGAAGATTGTAAATACACATTAAAAGTGAATTATGATTAGGAATAAATAATGTTGATGAGTATTTCTATATACAAAATATATTAGATGATTTATTAAGATTTAAAATGAATGAGAGAACTTCAAGTTAGATTGTAAGAATTTAAATTGATCATACTCTTAATATTGAAGAATTAGAAATAACAGGAAGAATTATAAATTACTTTGAAATAGAAAATCCTTTTCATATGTATTTAAATTTAGGTGATATTCTCCCAACTTCATAAGAATCAGATTATGTAGGTAAAGATTTTTGGCATGGTCATAAATATCTAATTTTACCTTGGATTCAAATATAAAATTCTTCAATATTAACAATTATTGTTGAATCATAAATAGGATCATTAATTGAATTATAAACTTAAACTTATGAAAAAATAAGAAAAAGTGTTTATGAATCAATGATATAAGGAGAAGTCAAGTTAAATTAATTTCATCATTATCAAATAGATAAGTAGTAAAATTAGAATCCTTAAAATTATTTGGTATATTTTAATTTAATGAATTTATTTAGTAAATATAATTGAAACCATATTCAGGTTTATTAACTGTTTATTTTAATTTTGAATAAGAATTACCTTAGAGTTTAGAAGATTTTGAATACAAATACATTATAAACTAAACATCCATTATCACATTTTCAGATATGGACTTAATTAAATATGATAAGATTGAATCTATTGATATTATCATTTATGGCAATGAATTATCAAGTTATTAATTTAAGGTTAGTCCTTAAAATAATTTGGGTATTCTCAGTTAGAATGTAAATTATTAAGGGAGAGTTTATAAAGATAAATTACTTTCATTCCTTTTGGATGCAAGAAATGATATAATGAGTGGTAAACTTAATCTATAAATGGAATCTGAAAACAATAATGTAGTAATCATTATAAAGAAGAGTATGTTTTAATAAGAAATAATAACTAATGATAACATTAAAAATATGGATAAACTTGAATCTGAGAATCCTTCAAGTTTATTTATTTTCACTAAAAAAGATAAATAAAACCTCTTATTTGAACTTGATTTTCCAATTATATCTCAGAATGTACAAATTGGTCTTTACTCAATTGGTATATTTTTAAATGAAAGTAACACGTATTTCAGTACCTATTCTTTTATTTTGAAAAGTGAACTATAATTTAAAAGATTAAAGGATAACACTCCGTATAAAAGTGTAATTACAAAAGAATCTTATTCATATTTTTAATATGTATTGAATCCTATAGAATATCTTGAAGAAATACAAATAATGTTAACATCTATTTAAGGTACTTCCATTCTATTATCATCTACTAAAGATTATCCTAATGAAACTCATTATGAATAAATAGGGGAGAATAATTTAATCACTTATTATTTTAAAGAAACCTTATAAAATAATTAAGTCTATTTTATATCTGTATATTGTTAGACGGCAGGTATCTTTACAATAACAGTAATAATTAAGAATAATAATAATAATTAGGAGAAATTAGGGGCCTATCCTTGGGAATATACTTAAATATTTTAAGGAGATTCTTAATATCATGTACTAAATAATTAAACAGTTGGTTTATTTAAAATTGATCTAACAGAGTAATTAGAGATAAAATAGAGGTAATTTTATGGACTGAATAAAAAAAAGAAATTGATTAGTATTCATATCTTATCACCTTTGGGTGGGATCATGATGTATGGATTTGTAAGTCCTTCAACAAATAGTAATAATTCAATATGGTCAAATCCTAAAGAAATTTCAGTTAAATTAAACTAATTGAATGGTGAATAAACTGTATTTTTAAGAATAGAATTGCAAGAACATTATAATTATTCAACTTATAAAATAGCTCTTCATTCATAATTTTAATCTACAAATCATATTTAAGAAATAATTGAGAATGAACATTATTTTGGTTACATTGATTAAAAAGGATAATTATTATTATTTCGTTACTATTAAAAATATGACTATTCAATTATAAAAAACTCAGAAGATAAAGAAAATGATGTCAGAGTAACAGTATTTTTAAGAAAAGAAGATCTATCATCATAAGAATCTACATTATTAATACCTAAAGAAAAATTAGAAGATATAGAATGTAGAAAGGAAGATTAAGAATTAAATTATTGTTCTTTTTTAATATAAATTACTGCTAAAAAGCCATCCTTTTACACTTTAATTATATCTCATGAGAATAATTAAATATCACTTCATATGGATTAAATCATTCACCATAAATTACCTAAAGAAAATGATCATTATTATTCTTTTATAGATGAAAGAGATTCAAATATTATTGTTAGAAATCTTAATCAAAATGTTTAACTATAAATATTAGTTACTCTTTTCTAACCATAAAATATTCAAACTAATATTGAATATCCCTATCCATTAAATGAAACATAATCAAATTTACTTAAGATTTCTAAAAATTTCAAAGGTTTTCATATAAGTTCAGTTTCCATCTTTAAAGATGATATTGCTAAAACATATAATTGTTCCACTAGGTGTATGATAGCTATTACAATTAGACAAATTCCAAACTTTAATTATATAATCGACTCAAATAGTGTTTATTCTATAATATATTCCTCAGGAAGTAGATAATTATCATTAAAAAGCTTTCTTCCTGGGAAAATATCAAAAGGATATACTGCATACTATAGTGTATAAATTACAGAGGAAGATGTTGAATTAATTATATTTTTAGAAGATAGTAATCTATGCAATGCTACTATTATAATATCAAAAGATGAGTTTCCAAATGAAGAGAAGCATGACTGGGTTTACAATCATTTAGATTAGAAGAATATTTCAATTTCTAATTATAATAATAATATTTATGAGAATATGAAAGGATATTATTATATAGGAGTATTGGGGGAATCAGAGTGCAATTATTATATTACATATTATTTAAATGATCCTAAAGAAAAGTAACTATAAGAATAATTATAAGATGATAATTTTTAAATTCCTTATCTTTTGATATAAAATTAATAATAAACAATAAATTCAATAAATCCAATTCTTTGGAAATTTGAATGTCAAACATTTGGAAGATTACTAATATAATTGTAATATCTTCCTTATAATATCAATATTATAGGTTTATATGATACTGAAAAATATAATTAAAATTATATTCCTATTGAAATTATTTTTAAGAATGATTTATAATTGATTGGTTATTTTACAATTCAAAAATTAGGGTTTTACTATTTGTAAACATCAATAGAAAATTCAATTATAGATATAGTATCTGAACCAATTTACTAAATCAGAGTTGCATTGATTAGAGAAGATTCAATTTTACCAGATTTTTAATGTTTAACCAAAAATTTAATATCAGAAATAATCTAGTCGGATGATAAAATTATAATAAATGTAAATCCACTTAGAATAGAATTAATGAATTCATCATTTTAAATTGAACAAATAAAATATGTTCTTTTATTTGGAGATTCTAATTCTAATAATAAATCTGTTTATTTCCATAATATTGATAATATTGATAATGTAAAATAATAAAAAAGGCAAATATAGTAATTTAATACAAGAACAACCAAAATAGTTTCCAAAAGATACCTTGATACTAATTTATCTTTTATATGCCAAGATATTTAATATATTAATACTACATATTCAATTCATGCAATAGGTAATAGAATTATTAAATTAAGCTACTTTTACTCTATATAATTTAGAAAGGATTGAAATAGATTATTTTTACGATTAGAAATTTGTTATGATTAATCAAAGCATTGGATACCAATTTATATTTGGAATTATAGTATTAATAATCATAATAATTGTTATATTATTGATTATCTTCAGAAAATGGCAGGAAAGAAGGAAAGTTTCACTTGTTAAAAATGTATAATAAAACTCAATTGAAATGATATTTAAAAATATTGATTAATGAGAATTATTAATTTATTTATAAATATGTTCTCATTATTAGATTATTAACATGTAATTTTTTTTTTAAGGTGTAAAAAGGTCAAAAATTATAATGAAAGTCGTATTTAAAATAAGAAGGATTAAACTGAATTGTTAGTTAATTTAAATATTGGAAGTGCTATTCCTTTCTTTACTTGAACACTAGTATAGAGTTGACGATTCTTAGAGTGCAATAGATCTAAGTTAATTTCTTTATTTTCGTAATAGTTTTTGATAAAAATATCAAATGTTTATGTTACGGTTATATTATTTAATATAAGTGTTTTATTTAATTTAATTTTAATTAATAAATAAAATTAGGGATAGTCAAATAACTTTTTTATTAATTTAAGAATTGGATAAAGATAAATTCACTTTATCCTAAAGGATAGAATTTAATATAATTAAATTAATCAATTCTTTTAGAATAATCTATAAACTTATAAATATACAAAATCTTAAAAAATGAAATGAAAAGCATATATCAAATATTTATTCTAATCTTTATACCATAAGACATATAGATTAATTATTATAGAAATTAAACTTAAGGAGAAAAGACTTTATTATTAAATAACTATAAAATAAAATTCGAATCTAATAGCTAACCTTATATTTAATTTAACATTTTTTTTTGATTTCGTAATAGCTATTAAATTACTATCATTATATTGTTATCATCTAAACAAATTTATGATTAAAAATGTGTTGATGTTTTAAATTTTTCAATTCAACAACCTTGCTTTTCTTTTTTAAATAATATTTTTCTGTATAAAAATTCAAAGTTCTTTTACTTAAACTGTAGAAATTACTTATTCATATTGAGAATTCTAGTATATATTTTGTTTACATTATAAAATCACATAGAATCCTCAAGGTATAAATGTTAAAATAATGATATTCTTTAAAACATAATAATCAAACTATTTTATTTGTTATGTAAAAATCGATTTCATTAAATATTTCTTCTGGAATAATATTACAACAATTTTCTAATCCCTTTTTTGATAATGATAATATATCTGCATCATCTTCATTTAATAATATATTATCTCGACTTGATTATAATGAACAAATGGATTTGTAATTAAAAATGCCATCTAATTCGTTGATAGCATTAAAATTCATTTTAATTCCAATATGATGAGATTTATATAGCTCTTCTCTACATTTAGACGATCTAATAATAAAATATAATCTAGATATTTCATATAGTAAATTTAAATAACTTAATTTTTATATCATTTACTTTTGAGCTTTGTCATAAAATTTTATAAACTCTTTGATATCTACTACTGTTTAATTTATTTTAACCATTACAATTTTTTACCTCCAATTTTTGGTTATGCATACATTTTTAAATTATGGATAATAATAGGATATCATTTCTTTTATTATACTTTATTTTAAAGAATATTGATTTAACATAATAATTATATACTTACTCATGAATAATAGAGATACAATTGATCCAATATTTGCTAAGATATCTCCAATACGAGGATATTCAAAAATAGTTTACATTTAATTACCATTCATTCCTAAATAGATTATAGAAAGAGCATCATTATTAAAAGCCTTATAACAATACTCAGATGAACTTGTTTAAGTCTGTACTACAGCTCCAGAAATAAATTCCTTAAATTAAGATGTTCCAAATAAAAAATCATCCTAGAGTTCATATAAATTCGTTTCTAAAAATGTATTCATAGTATAACAGAATCTTTCTTCAATTTAAATGTAAAATTCTTGTAATCCAACCTATTCTGATCCATCTCTAGAATTCAAAGAGGTTGAATAAATTTGGATCACAATAATATTAGAGGATTATTTAAAAAATTCTTCGATTAACTCCTTAGATGCACATTTTTCATCTGGACTTAGATAAACTTCAGAACATAAAACTATTTATATATACATTTATCCTGATGTATACATTTCTCCATCTATTTTAGAAAACCCTAATTCTATTTTTGGTATATATGTATTTCCATAGCTTGAAACGATATTATTAGTTATTAGTTAAGGTTATGTTAACTAATTTTGTCTATTGTAGATAACCAGAGGCAAAAGAATTTTTGTTTTAAAGGGATCAATTAAATTATTATCGTACTTCCAATAATATATTTTAATGAAGTCTTGATTAAGATCAAGGGTTGAGTAATCAGTAGCATATTTAGAAGTAGATATTTTAGGATTCATCTATTTTGTTTGCCATAAATAGAGAATCCAGATTGCATATCCCAAACTGGATGAGAAAATAATTAAAGATAAAATTCCTCCGAATATGCTCTAATATTTAGACTATTTTTGGTCTATAGATTGTATAAAAGGTACTCCAAATAAATCAGCATTTTTTAAAATATTCATCCTATATTTTTTAATTAATTAATTTTCAGATAAAAACATAAATGCTATAAAATATTGCTGTTAGGTTATTAATTATATTATGTGGCAAGAAAAAATAAGTAACGTCTAATATTCTTGGTCTTCTTCATTATCTTTCTCATTTAATCTATTGTCTATTCAAGTAGAATTAGAATAAAAGCTTCATCTCACAAGTTGTTAAAATTGCATAATGAAATAAATCTAAAAGTATATTATATAATAATTTCTCTATCTTTGTTGTTCCTCTTATAAAATAACTAATCATAGAATTTAAATAGAAAATTTTCAAGTTTTTTGAGTATTTATGTAATTAAGTCATTTCTATCTTAGGATAATCATAAATTTATGACTATACACATAGATATTTATAATAAAAATAAAAGCATTAATAAATTAAATTGAATTAATAGTATGAAAAGCTAATTATCAAAAAGATTGAACAATAATCAAAACCAGAATTAGCTTAGTTATTGATAAGCCTAAAAGAATTATAGAATTATTTTTTAAAATAGGGGTTAAGATTGTGGTAAATTCAAAAAAACGCTATATAGTAGATAAAAAAAAAGGACTAAATAATTGCCTTAAAAAGTTGTAGTTTTCTTTTTCATTTTAAAATTAGAATCTAATTAGTAAGTTAAGAGATATTTAAGAACAAATTTTTATTTTGTTGATTAACTAAAATGAATGTTTTATTATATTTTTTATGTATATAATATTAATTTAATATAATCTAATAATTAAATAGGAGTATTTTTAGATGGAATAAATATTAATTATATATAATATTTTCAGATCTAAATTGACATTATCGTTAATTTACAACTTTCTATATTCTTTCTTTACTAATTTACTAATTTATTTATGATAAGAAAGAGCTAAGTGATATTCAATTTCCTTAAATTAAACTTAATAATAATAACATTAAGATATCTATTTCCTAAATTACCATTTTAATCTTAAATAATCATTCATTACTATAATGTATACATTTATTTTATTATTAGTTAGTCTTAGTCATATAATTATTTCACTTATAATTACTTAATAAGATTGTTTAATTGAGACATTATAATATTTATATTAAGTTGGAATATTAAATAAATAATTAAATATTTTGATGATAGTTATATATAATTACTACATTAATCTTTATAAATTATTTCTAATTAAAAAATGACAATTAATTGTTAGAATTACTTATTACATAATTAATTTCATATATTGTATACTAAAATTTTATTAAAAAGTCATGTAAGAAAATCTAAAAATAATATATTGAAAGTTTAAAAACAGTAATAAAAATGTTTAATAAATAATTAGAATACCCTTCCATTTTATTAATTAACATATAATATTAAAATTGAAATCCTGTATAAATTATCATGCAATATAAGCACAACAGTATATAGTAATTCTTGTAAAAATTTTATAAAAAATAAATGATGAAATAAGATCAAGACAAGAATATTTGGGAATGGGTTCCTTGCAATTATGATGTAAAGCGCATAGTAAAGGATACTCAAACTTCTTGGAATTTGAGTCCATAAATATCTCTGAAGATTCCAGCAGAAAATGGGACCATCGATCCAATCATTAACATAAAGATTGATTAAAGCAGACCTTTTATTTATACAGAAAATTTAGGATGGAATTGGCATAAGAGTTGGAACCTTCCAGACATTGGTTTGGAAATGGAAGTATAGTTTTAATTGTTATAACACTAAATAGATTACAGACCCTTTGACAAATGAGCGTCTTGCCCCTCCAAACAATATATATGTATCAATCAAAATTATAGCAAGTGTAAACTGTAAATCGTCAAACCAATTATAACTCCAATGAAGACACATCATCTCTTAGAAGTGGGTGCTAAAGGAAACCAAAAAGTGGATATGGAGAATGGGAAATGTATATTCTCCGGACTTAAGTTCAACACTACTTCATATAATCATGATGTAATAAAGTTTAAAAATAGGATCAGCATTAACGATTTCATATAGTGATCACATTGTATTTGTGTTAGAATAAGTTTGAATTTCCTTAGATCTTAGATTCTCGTATCTCCCCTCCAATTTTTGTAGATTCACGTAAATCTGCAAGAGACATAGTAAAATAGAAGGTAAATTTATATTATTAATATATATATATAGATATAAAAATTGCAATCATATTTCGACCCTTTCTTACCTAATAATTTGGAGAAATAGTTTTTAATAATCAAGCCTTCTAATTAAGAAGTAATTAAAAATTCTATTGATGGACTCATAAATTATTTCACTGCTCCAAATATACGGCATAAAGTTAAGCATCCCATTTTCTTATTACTTAAATTCAGTGCTTGTATCTAATTGTATGTAAACTCTGCTAAAATTAAATTTACAGAAGTAAGTTACAACATAATATTTAGCCTGACAATTTAATTTAAACCTTATAACATGTTCTCTCAACTAGCAATGCATTACAAGGAATTTAAAAGATAGATTAGAAACTCATTATATTATATATTGATTGTAAAACCAATGAAACCAAATCTTAATAGAATGTTAAAAAGATATTAGAATTTCTTGAACCTCTTAATAATGATTGTGTTTAGGTTATTATAGATATTAATGATGTACCTAAAGGTTTTATACAAATTGAAAATCTAGTAAAAATACTATACATAAATCATAGGATGAAATGCAATAAGCTTACCATAGAGTTTATAATTCCTTATTGAAATATAGAAGGGAAGATGATTAAATTGATTAAGAATAATTAGAAGAGGAATATAATGCAAAAATTCCTGAAAAAAAGAAGAAAAAAGAACTTAAAGAACCTGAGTAACCAATTAATCCTGAGAGAATAAGAAAAATTATTCATATTTCAGGTAATCTTCCCAACCAAAGTTCAAATTCGATGCCTGAACAAGATAGTGTATATATATTTATATCATCACTTAGAACCAAATTAAAATGGAATAATTCTCAATTCCCAATAATGTTTAATTGAGACTGCCAACTTAAGAATAATCATAGTAGTATTTGCAATAATCATAACTATAATAACAATAACTATAACAGAATTTAGCCTTTAATCCAATGTAGTTATGGCTATATCTATAAAAACTTCCTTCATGAATTATAAGATTATAATGATCAAATAGATTTTTAATCATCAAGACTACTTGTTTAACTTAATTTCTTTCTCTTCTAATCAAAAGTATTTTCTATTGGAGTTTTTATTTCTTGATAATTATCATTCCTAATATTTCTACCTTTATAGAGTTTCTAAAGCCTATGTATTCAAGAATTTAAAGATATTGTTACAAAGTCATAATTACTTAAGATTGATCTATAACTAAAAAATAATATTTTATTAGATTTCTAATTAGAATTTTTTTAATCTTTATTTTGCTAATTTATTTTATATATATATCTCTATATTGGCTAATTAAAATAACGATATATCAAAAATAAATAATTATATTTGTAATTTGTATCAATCAATATCTTTTTATTAATTGATTTATTTTGACATTCTAATTTAGTTATAATTAGATTAAGTATTTTCATACGGCTCGTTATTATTTAATTATGATTTATTATGTCTTATAATAATCATCCTTAACTTTTAAAGACTTAATAAAGAAATTAATAATTATTAAATATATGTTCTCTTATTTTAAGATTTCAATATTATTAAAGAATCTTGTATATTCTAATTCTATTTAAATTGATTGATTTACATAAATATATATTGTTATATAAATTAATATAAAATCAAACTAATAAATTATCATTTTCTTTTTCTTAATTCAATCGTTCTATTTCATTATATAATAAAACTAATAGACATTTACAATCAATCAATTTTCTTTCAGCATCTACAACTTCTGCAAATTTTGATCTTAAACTCATTAATTCTTTTTCATTATCCTTATTTATTCTTATCTACTTATCTAATTCTTATGTCAATACTTTCCCCTAAAAGCATATATTAAATCTTTTACTCTTTCTTCATTGAATTTATCATTTTTAGCCAATTTTAATAAACTTATCTCATTCTTAGCCTCTAACAATTTCTAATTCAATTAATCAATTTCTTAATTTAATTTTAAATTTTGTAATTCATATTTTCCAGAATTAGATTCTCCTAATAATTTTTGTTTCTATTCATATTCTGATAATTTAAATTTAAGTTCTGCAATTTCATTATTTCTAACATTTACTAAATTTGTTAATCTTCTATTTTCATCTTGTAATTTAAAAATTATATCTTAAACTCCAGGATTCTCTTTTTATTATTATAATGAATCTATTGTTTATTATTTTAAAAGAATTGTTTATCTTAATCTTTCAATTTCACCTTCATATGCACTTACCTTCTCTAATACTTAATCCTATTAAAAAGAATTCTTTTTATAAATCAAAATTTCTTCATTTCTCTCTGTCAATATTCTATTAAGTCTCTCAATTTCCTCTACTAATTGTGGAAACCTTATTTCATACTTCTATAATTTATCAATCAATTTTAAATCCTATTATATTAAAGGTTATTATTATTATTATTCATATTTATTTTCAGTGATGAACTCTTTTGTTATTTCTAATTCATTTTTTAACTTTTAAATTGTTTATTTCAATAAAGGAATTTATCTGTTAGCTGCTTCTAATTCTATTTATTATTAATTGACAATCTCTTATAAAGTGTTATTATTATGGTTTTTTTCAACTGTATCTTACATTATTTTCTATAATCGTTAAATTTCATTTTTTAATTGAAAAACCTATATTTTTTTATTTAATATACTATACTGAATCATTATTTTCTTATTGTTCTTAAAGTAATTAGGAATAATTAAACTTTTAATTATTATAACTATTTGATAATAGTTGATATTCCTGCATTAAACTTTATCTATCACTTTCTAACTATTAGATTTACATTTATAATTTATCTACTTATTATTTTAATAATCTATTAGTATCTTCCAATTATTA